AGCACAGTCATGAACGAGGGCATGCCAATAATGTCCATGATATCCAACTTCGACGAACACGTGGCTGACATACAAATCCAGAGTTCTTCTTCTCGCTCGATCGTAACCTCGAAGATGTAGATAACTTCTACAACCGCAAATATGCCGAGAATGCGCGACGGTTACGACTTCTGCATGGCCGCTATGGACGAGTCGCACAATTACCCGAGGGTATCGATAAGGACGAAGCGCAAGATCTTATGGGCGCGCTGCTTGAATTGCGTGGATCAATGCGGAAGCTTCAATGGTATGGAGAAGTGAATCGCCGGGGGTTCATCAAAATCACAAAGAAGCTTGACAAGAAAATCGAGACCGTCTGTCTCCAGGAACGCTACCTAGCGTCAAAAGTCAATCCAAAGCCCTTCGCGCACAACTTGCCTTTGAATCAGGATATGAAGGCGGTCAATGAGTGGTTATCGGGACTGGGCGACATCAAGACATTCGATGATACAGGCTCTACACACTCTGCTGCTTCCCTGGGCAGAGTTCCAGGCCGCTCGCTACACCTTCCTTCAGGCCTGCTGGACGCTGTGGACACGGCTATCCGCGCTGACAAGGTCAACGATCTCAATGAGCAACTGACCGAAGTCGCCAAAAGCAACGGCGTATCTAGTTCCTCGGTTCAGCAAGTGCTCTTGAACTTCTTGCAGCGCGCTATCTCGTGTCGGGCAAAGTCCTGTATTGAGAGGCTGCTGCAAGACATCATCTCACTAGAGGAAGAAGACGATATCAACAAGCGCAACTGTATTCATCGACTTGTCATCAATATCGGTCGTTCCAAGACTGGCGATACTTTTGGAGCTGACGGAGCTCTTCTCCAGAGTTCGAGTGAAACACGAAACTTCATAGTGCCTGCCACAGATCCCAATCGCCAGCCTCGTCCCTGTACTACCACCGAAGAAGAGTCAGCGCAGCTACTCAGCGAGAATGACGAATCGGTGCAACTACTCATCTATCTGCTCGACCAACTTCGTGCTGAGCAGCGCATCGCGCTTCAGTCTCGTGACTCGTACGGCAGGTTCCCGCTCCATTATGCTGCGCAATATGGATTCGTAGTCATTTGCCAGGTCGTCATGAAGCACATGCAAGACTGGGGCCAGTTCGATGTCGCTCAAGGTATCGACTCCGACTACTGGCAGGATGCAGAGGGCAACGCTCCTCTACATCTTAGCGTCATGGGCGGGCATCCCCTTACCACCAAAGCTCTACTTGAAGCAGAAAACTGGCGTGGTGCCACAGAAGAGCGACTAGCATCTCGGAAAGCCATTGCGCGATCAGGTGCAGCTTTGACTTTAGCAACTCGGTCGAATTTCGTAGACATCGTCAAGCTCTTAGTCGAAGCTGGTGTGGACGTCAACTATCAGGATGAAGGTGGCGAGACCGCGTTACACATGGCAGCGCGCTATGGGTATGACAAGTGCGCCCAAGTCCTACTGAAAGGATCCAGCATGAACAAGGCGGAAGTAGACGTGGCCGAGAAGACGTTTGCTTGGACACCATTATTCATCGCTTGCGTTGACGACCATCTTTCCATGGTCGAGATTTTGGTCGCTGCCGGAGCTGACCTGCAAAAGTGTGACAACTCTGGTTGGACAGCAAAGGAGCATGCCGCGCTCCGTGGCCACATGGAGATAGCAGCAAGGCTAGCAGAACTTACGCCCACCACAGAATCGCATCTCGTTGCACCTACAGATACACGTATCGCCCGAGCTGGGTCGCCTACTCAATCTTCACTCGATGAGCGGAGATCCAAAAACATGAACCGAGACAACAACACCGCTATGCAAAAAGCCCCCGAACCTGTCAAGACTTTTGGCCATCGTTATTTGACTAAAGAGACGATGATTCTCGTCAGCCTCGGGTCTATGGACATTAGGAAGGACACGCCTGCGGTAAAGTTGGATGATATTCCTCTTGCTGATGCGCATGCGACGCAACTTGACACAGCTTTGTCAGTGGTTGTGAATGCATCTGGTGCTACTGGAGAACCTACGGTGATCGACTTGCCCATCCAGGAGAATATCGCGACTGAGCCTATAACTTTTATGACTAGCGATGTTACCAAAGTCAAGCTGTTGTTCGACATCATCCCGACATACGCCGGCAATCAAGAGCGTGTTGTGGGACGGGCAGTGGCATTGCTATCGACTATCAAGACCAGTATTGGATCCAAGCGTATATCACTCCAGGGGGACATGAAGGTACCGATTGTGGCGGCCTCCACGTTGGACGTGATCGGCACGGTTAATTTCAACTTCTTGATCATTACGCCCTTCCACCACCCAGCTATGTCGGTCACAGAGCAGCACACCTACTGGAAGAAGATGGCAGCTACAACCATGGTCATTGGTCACCGCGGTCTGGGAAAGAACACAGCCTCACGTACATCACTGCAGCTCGGAGAGAACACAATACAGTCGTTCATCTCTGCTGCAAATTTGGGTGCGGAATACGTAGAGTTTGACGTTCAGTTGACAAAGGACCACGTGCCGGTCATCTACCACGATTTCCTCGTCAGCGAGACTGGTATTGACGCACCTGTACACACACTCACACTGGATCAATTCCTTCACATCGGCGAGGGTCAAAAGCCACGATCTTCTCGCGCAGGCTCACCAGAAACGGTCCCAGTTCCCAACGGTACGAATGGCACGGATGACCGCCCTAACACACGGAGACTTCGATCGTACTCGGTCGACAACTCGAAGCAGCGCAACATTCATACAGATCGCCAAAACGAGCTTACTGAGCGTATGAAGTATACCCGCGATTTCAAGAAGAAGGGCTTCAAGGGCAACAGTCGTGGCAATTCTATCCAGTCTTCCTTTACGACTCTAGAGCGCATGTTCGATGAGCTACCTGAATCGGTTGGTTTTAACGTCGAGATGAAGTATCCCATGCTTCACGAGTCTGAAGAAGAGGAGATGGATCAGTATGCTGTCGAGCTCAATTCCTTTGTCGACACCGTGTTGGAGAAAGTGTACGACAAAATGGGCAAGCGAAACATCATCTTCTCGTCTTTCAATCCGGACATCTGCCTGATGCTTTCGTTCAAGCAACCTTCAATTCCAGTGCTTTTCCTCACCGATGCTGGTACCTCGCCCGTCGGAGACGTGCGAGCAGCCAGTTTGCAAGAAGCCATTCGATTCGCTAGTCGATGGAACCTGCTTGGCGTAGTCAGCGCCGCGACGCCTCTGGTCATGTGTCCAAGACTGGTCAAGGTGGTAAAGGAAAGCGGTTTAGTATGTGTCTCATATGGCATGCTAAACAACGATCCAAAGAATGTTCTGGTAAGTCATGACCTCCACACGACGCTAATGTAAACCTCTTTGCAACAATGACTGACGGCGCAAATAGCTCCAACGAAACGAAGGCATCGACGCTGTCATTGTGGACAGCGTTCTGAAAGTCCGTCAAGGACTCCAGGCTCCGAATCAGGATTCTACCACTAGTGGCACTGTCAATGGCGCATCGGTTGTCGTTCCGTCTGAATCCGTGCCGACAATTAAGGAGGCGAGTGAAGCGTTGCAGAATGGGCATGACAGCAAGGAAGTGCCAGCAGCAGCAGCGCAAGGAGTAGTTTGAGCGACTTGGGGGTGGCATGTGTTGTCTTCAACAATGGGTGGCTAGCGTTGATTGTTCTTTTTTTCTTAGACGAAGAGCTTTGTGTTGATCCGTGGGTAGTCCCTCAACGGGCTTGGATTTGCGTTCGATCTATCTATTGGGGTTGGAAGTTCGATCTGTGCTGTGTGCTGGTGTTGATATGATGTGATCTGTAGCTAGCTCCACGCCGATGTGAGTGTAAAGACGTTTCCTTTTATGTGAGTTGAAGTTGAAGAATTTCTACACCAAAGACGATGGCAAGGAACCTGTGCCCGTCTTACTGTGACTGGACACTGCGCACCATGGACGACCTTCCGCTGTACCCATGGACCAATACTCACCTTCTCGGCTTCCCAAATCTCAATACAATGGCGGGTACGACCGTGCGTGTGCTGAAAATAAAGACCGCTGAACTCGATACATCCGTTCTTGAGGGTCTTCTCTCTTACCTCTGGATTCTGTAGCATCAGAAAGCTCAGAATAACCGGGATGCACCCCTGCGTCGAGAACAGACATCTAATCAGGATATATTCTACAAGCCGGCATAACTGATTACATACGACCATAGGACATTGAAAATTAGTTCACCCTCGCGATCCGTCAAAACTCGCGGTGCCGTGTTGAGGTCGATTAACTGAGTTTCGTCCTCGGTTACCCGTTTCAGGAATCGCGTACCCTAACACCGCCACACCAAAATAACACTCGCGTCCGCAATTTCCTTCGGCCAAGAAAGTTTTCGTGAAAAAGCTTAACACATAGGCCTATAGAGTAATCTAGTAAGTTTCCTTGTAATAAGTGCTTGTGTGTGGCTCTACAGCCTCAATCTTGTGTAGCCTGTTTTGGTGATGCGCGTGCCTTGACTGACGGCGTGCATGGTGTGCACGTATACGGTAACCGTACGACAGCTTACGCTGTCTACACTAAAGGTAATTTAGGTAATTACACTATAAAACAGGAAGGACGGATAGGAGCTCTTCCGTGCCATTCTGATTATAGTTAAGACTTCCGGTTACTGAAGTGGAGTACGCACTACAGATAGGCGCATGAATCCCGACGGAGGCGGGATGTGCTGGTTTGATGAACGCGAAATTTGCATCATAGGTGCAAACCGTAAGTTTTGTCATGGACACAAGAAATTTGGGGAGAAGGAAGACAGCGTTGCATGGTACGAGCCGTAGCATCAGCGACGGCTCGCTATTGCCGGCGTGGACAACCCGAGAATGCTGCTGATGAGCGACGCTCAGGAAGCCATGGGACCATGGAACGGCTCGAAAGTTACATGAATGTTTGCTAGTCCAAGTCAGAAATGCTTCCAAGACTAGATAAAACCAGATTGTTTGGGTCTTTTCCCATCAGTATCAGTACTTGCTCCTGCGCTCCAGCTCCCCGATCCCATCATCTGTGCCAAAACTGCGTTCCGCGATGGATGACTTCCTATTGACCCTGACTGCGCCTTCGCTGGCGCCTCCTCGCAGTCGTGATGCCCTGTTTTGACCACGATCAAGCCGGGACATCGGGTAGCTTTCGCCGTGATCGAACTGCGCAGTACTGTGGTGCACACTCGACATGTGCCCATAAGCGCCAGGATCGGAAGAGTATCCAAAGCCTGCTTTCTGACCGCTGCCTGTATCAAAGCTCTGGATAAATGACTTCAGACATGGTGTCGTCGCGGCTATCAGCGAGAAGCAGAGCTGCGATTGCTGATAAATCAACGCTGTTGTGCGCTCGACACCGGAGTTTTCGACATGTATCGAGCTTTTCCAAGACTTGTAGAATAGCGCAGCAAGCATAACAAGGGGCAGCCGTAGCGCAAAAACCCCCAGTATCTGCAGCTTGAACACAATGTTCATTTGAAGACGGCGACACAGGTATGTGGGTATGAAGGCCAGCATTAAGTCAGTTATTCCGTCAGTGATTACGACGACCAAATAGCGAGTTTCGATGCCATGGCAGATATCAGAGGGTTTCCTTGGCGATAAGCTCTCACTTGCGCAGCTAGCTGAGACTAGCACTGCAGATACAAGTGTCCACGTTACGATGACCACGGTGGCCGCATTACACACTGCCCAAGCGTGCTTCATGTCACGTATGAAGAGGCGTCTTACCAGCAATATCAAGGCAGTCTTTGAGAAGCCGAGAGATATGTGAATAAAGACTTGACCGCGGGAATAGGTCTGTCCATGTGTTAGAGAAGTTTGCTGCGCTGATTGGGGTTGTATTATAGAGACCATCCATGAGTATCGCTCGTCGGTAAGGGACTCAAACGATCGTGCCAGCCCGGCTGACAGAGAAGCAAGAAGTAGCGAGAACTGGATAACGTTGGTGATCTGTTGTGGTCAACACATCGATACGAGCAGTTTCATGCTGGTGGCAACCATACCTGCGCAATCAGCATCGCTGCGTCGTCCAGTCCCAGCATGCGCCATCTGATGAATATCCGCGTGAAAAATGTAAGGCTGGTATAAGTGAAGGCGAGGAATGTGACAATATATAGGATCCCACTGTGGTCATCAGGCGTAATACGCGCCCAGCGATAGCCATCTTGCACTGCTGCGGACATGCTGAAGTTGTTGGCAGATCTGTGGGACGGTAGGCTTTGATTGATAGACCATAGCTTCGACCTTGGAGTTGAGAGCGTTTGCTACAAACCTTGGGCTGTTATCTCGCTGGAATCGCGTCCGTGCTCCCTTGTGCAGAAAGTTGCCTGTCTCTCATCTGGCGAGCTGCATGGGCCAGTGTTGGACAATGTGATGCAGCCGAAGCGCATCGCACAGGATGTGAAGGATCCAACTTGCATCGGCTCGAATGCCGCTTACCCTGCCGGGTGGCGTGCTAGCCTCCCCGAGGGCGTTGGCCGGCCCGTCCCCTGCACCACGAACCTGTATCCACCCATCACGTCCTCTGAGTGGTTTCGTCTTGCAGCTGGCTTCTCAAATCTTTCCCATGCTATTAAGCCAGGTGCATTTGCGCCATTTTCCCATCCTTCTTAGTGTCATGGAAGCGATTTCCGGACTTCTCGGTCGTCGTGTCGCTTGGTCGAAGCTCAACATTCGCAATCATTCCTTTCAACTCGCACACTCATTCCTGTCAACTTACACTCTTCATATTCATTTTCCTATTATGTCAGACCTAAAGGATGAAGCTGCTGCCGTAGCCCAGCCTCTTGACAGTGAGTTACAACAAGATGGCATAGTTTCAGAAAAGAAAGGGACCGCTGGCGACCAAAAGGACATGTATCGTATGGGAAAGCAGCAGGAGCTGCGACGAAACTTTCGTTTTGTGTCGATCTTTGGATACAGCATGGTTTTGATGGCGACGTGGGAAACCATACTGACGTGAGTACGTATGAGCATTTGATCTGCGCTGTCTGACATCCAGCAGAACTCTGATCATCCCATTAACGAATGGTGGCACCGGTGGCGCTATCGTCATGTTCCTCGTCACAGCGGTGGGCATGGGCTTTGTCATCGTCTCGATGGCTGAGATGGCTTCAATGTGCGTGGCAGCCCGTTGCTGGGGTTCCTTCGAGACGAGACAATTGCTAACTAGAACGAAGGGCTCCTACTTCCGGAGGACAGTATCATTGGGTGTCTGAGTTTGCGCCGAAGAAACACCAGAAGTTCTTAAGTTATCTTGTGTTGGTTGCCCTGAGCACATCCACGAGCCTTATTGCTGATCACATAGTAGCGGCTGGTTGTGCGTGCTAGGTTGGCAGACCGGAATTGCATCTATCGCCTTCCTTGCTGGCGGTCAGGTCCAAGGACTTGTCATCCTTAACAACCCAAACTACGTCCCCGAACGATGGCACGGTACCCTCCTGGTTATTGCCGTAGCAACGTTCTCGATCCTGTTCAACACGCTATTAGCTCGTAAGCTACCACTAGTCGAAGGCATTGTCCTGGTCCTGCACATCTTTGGATTTTTTGCCATCTTCATTACAATGTGGGTTCTGGGGCCGCGTAGTCCATCCAAACAGGTTTTCGGTGGATTTCAAGATAACGCGGGATGGGGCAGCATAGGCCTGTCTGTGCTGGTGGGACAGCTCTCGCCTATCTTCTCTCTCTTAGGTGCGGATGCTGCGACCCATATGTCTGAAGAACTAAAGGACGCCTCACACACACTTCCCCGCGCCATGATCTGGACAGCGGTAGTTAACAGCAGCTTGGGTTTCCTCATGCTGGTAACCTTCTGTTTCTGCCTCGGCGACGTAGAAAGCGCCATCCTATCGCCGACAGGGCAACCCCACATTCAGATCATGTACAACGCTACGCAGTCCATCCCAGGGGCTACAGCTCTAGCATCAATTACAACTATCATGGCAGTGTTTGGATGTGTCAACAATGTGGCAACATGCTCGCGCCAGCTCTTTGCCTTTGCTCGCGACCACGGCGTCCCTTTCAGTGCCTTTCTGTCCCAAGTTCGACCAGGCTGGGACATTCCTCTCAACAGCGTTCTTGTGTCTTTTAGTATTGCCGTTGGGCTCTCCCTCATCAACATCGGCAGCACTGTAGCGTTCAACTCCGTTGCGTCGCTAGGCACATGTGCTCTCCTCTCGTCCTACATTGTCAGCATTTCATGCATGTTTATCAAGAGGTGGAACAAAGAACCTCTCCTTCCCTGCAAGTTCTCGCTCGGTCGCGCTGGTATCTGGGTCAATGGTGTGTCCGTCATCTACTTATGTGTAGCGTTGGTATTCGCCTTCTTCCCTACATTTCCGCACCCAACACCTGACCTAATGAACTGGAATATTCTGATATACGGCGTTGTTGTGGTTTTTTCGCTGGTCTACTTCTTTCTCAAGGGGCGCAAGGTGTATGTTGGGCCTGTAGAGTATCTTAACAAAGATCTTTGAGCGGGAGTTGAGATTACAGGACTAAAGGGCAACAACAGAGCTTAACAGAAATGTAGTAGTATTGTTTCAGGTAACATTTCTTCCATGTGTGGCGTATCTGTGAAGTCGCGAATGATGTCTCAATACTCTCTAGTTGACTGACCAAAACTGTGGTAGTCAAAAACCAGGCAACAGATATTCCGCTCTTGCACAATAACATCACCTCAGTGACGATACAAGGGGTCTGCATGATCATGATTTGCCTAATCCCTCCCAGAAATTCAACAATCCTTCGCGCGTATCACGTTGCTTCTTTGTGATCATCAACGTCCCCTGCCCGTAAGCGAGAAATGGCCCTCAGCGAGATGAATCGTCCGAAGATGATCTAGGGTTGGTTCTTGGGGAATGAGTGGGCGACGATGGACGAGAGGGTTGTACTAGCACGATTGGTAGATCAATGTAATAACACGAGGGTTTGAGAATCAAGTAGTAATCCTTAGATTGACGTAAGATCGAAGTTGAACACAGCGAACTGTAAGATCTCACTGCCTAATCCTATATATTGAGGGTGATAGTTGCGAAAGTCGCGCGCAGAACTATCGCAAATTCTTGGCGTGATTACCAGTCACGTGACCTATCCTTCCCTCGAGCGCCTTGACGCCTAGCGGCACAGTTCCTGTTCCGCGGTACCCAATGATGAGGCTCGTGGCTGTCGTTCGTAACAACCCTGTGCACTGACACGCTACATACATGTGTATAATGAGAGAGTTGAGATAATACTAATAATATTAGCATATGGATGGCGGCGAATCTGCGCAAGAAGGTGAAACTAGCACGATGTAGTAGCCTGCTATCTATAGCTTTGCTTTTACATGCATTTGTCACCTTTCTTTAGCCTTGTAACAGTGCCCTGAGATTCACATGCCGCGTGCTGTAAACCATGCATAGCGTCCTCTCTTCTGTGATTGTCAACCACCAACGACCCATACTGTAGCTTCTGCTTTGCAATGTACTTATCGAAGGGATCGGATCCTGGGCAATGTCCTCAGGCCCAGTCATCGAGATCTTTGTTGCGTATTGTTCGAATGAGGCCAGAGGCTTCACACTTGTTGCGAGATGAAAACCGGTTTCTACGATCCCTCAGGCCTGAAGAACGCTCATTTTATCGAGAGGCAGAGAGATTTTTTTGAGTACAGCGACTAGGAGGACGGTAGCAGGTTGGCAATGACAGTCGGGATTTTATTAGTATACGCGAGGTTGAGCGTGCTGGACGGTACCTAGTCATGCGTCGTCCAGATCCTTCGTACCCAAGAATTGTCATCGCGGAACACGCTCAGCGAAAGTTGACCATGTCGGTCAATACGTTCTGTCAGAACATCAATTACACATCTAGACTTGGCTTTGCACCCTTGCTATGTCAGAGAGCCAGAAGATGAGTCTAGATACGCTGCAGGCTGTGGATATGAGCCAACAGTCATCTTGTGGGCAGTTTGATGACTCGGAAGGGGTCCTTCAGCTGCCAATTTGTGGCGCACCACTTCGCATGCCGAAGCAATGCTTGTCTATACAAGCCGGGGAGATGCTCAGGGGGCTGACCGGTAAATATATCGTCAATACTACAACCCCTTTAGCGACACCAGAACCTCACGTCAAAAGCGTCATACACACCTCAATCAAACCTACCCCTCATCATCTCTTTTGCCAAGGTGACCAACATGCCCAAGACCTCCAGACCCCGCGCCAGTATGAAGGATACGAGAGCATGACAAACTCCACGTCTGCTAGACGGGTGCAAACGTGCTCGTATGGTCGTCTCATACGGACGAATCTGGCGTTGGCGCGGCATTTGAGGGTATTGAATCAGGGCTATTTTGGGACTTAGTTGCATTGGTTGGCGCCGGCCCATGTGGGCGGATGTGGCTGGTGACCCGAAGATGCCTGTCATTTCCTGATGACCCGTCTGCGCCGCTTTACAACCTTACAACAACAACAACATCGCCATCATCATCACTGTTATCTCTCTATATACCGAATAACAGCTGGCAATGCTCATCTAGTCTCACGGGGCAAGAAGGACTTTGTTTTGTCGACAGATATTACAGCACTTTCCTAGACAGAGAGGAAACATCGAACCACTCGGAGAGTCAAGCCACCTTGGCGCCTACGCCGAAACTCCCGGTGGCACATCGACGCTACCGAAACCCCCCCCCCAAAGCAGCCTAAACCAGGGGTGGATCGCAAGCTTACACTTGCGCAGACCCTATGAAAACCTTACAACCCCTGTCATGAGATCCAAAAGTCCAGATGTAGTGTGGCTGAGTGCAGAAACAAAGTGCGCCGCTGGTGTGATGTGATGTGTCTGCGTTTCGTATCCGCCATCTTTTCCTGTGGCTACTCCAGCTTACCTGCCTTAGTGCCCTGCCTTACTCCAGTTCCAGCGCGCGCGCGTTTCTGGCTTAGACACACCTTAGCGAATGTAGCTAGGACAAGCTCCGCAAACAAAAAGCACGAGTTGCGGGCGGCGTTCGAGACTGGACTGGTGTTGGTGCCGTGCAAGCGGAGTAGCGGGCGGGCGTCACTGCACGTTTTAGTATATGAGTCTACTGACCCGCGTTTGCGCTGAACTTTTGGTATCACCACTTTACATCATCGAGCTTGTTGCAGCATCATTGAGCGCAGTTTTCTTTCCTTGTCTCTTGTAATTGTTGATGGCTAGGTGACATTCGTTCGCTCTTCTATCTACCTTTTACTAGCTGTCGATCACCCGTCTTCATTCTACGCATCCTTGTTACCTAATTATTCGGATACTGTCACTACGGATACGACTTCCAAAGCAGATCGATTACCATGTCTCGCCTTCCACCTCTAGGAGCCTTGCTCCTGCCTCTCATGGCACTACTCGCCCAATCTGCACTCGCTGCCAATCCGTACACTAGCTCTATGAGCGAAACACCGAAAGACAACAACGCAGACTGTGATTGCTATGTCGTGCAATCCGGCAAAGACTCAAATACACCAGAGTACTTCCAGTATTACCGATTCTACGACTTCCGAAACCTCCCGGGCGCTATGAGCGAATCGCCGCCGCTGCTCAACGATACAGACAACGTGGGTTTGGCATCGACATGGCAGCCGGATCTCTTCGACAGCGATGCGTGGAATTACGATTGGGGAATCCAGAACTGGAGCAAACCGGCAACCGAAGACTTCCCCACACCAATGAACAACTCCTTTGCAAACATCTTCCTAGGCCAAGAGGATTCGACGTCCTACCTTGCCCTCCGTACATCGCGCATGGACGACTACCAGACATCCGGCGAGATCGAGAACCAACAGAAAAACCTTATGCACGTCTCCATGCGCATGTACGGCCGTGTTCAAGGAGCCAAGGGAGCCGTAGCAGGATTCTTCACCTTCTACGACGACGACAACGAATCCGATATCGAGATCCTGACCGACGACCCCAAAGACCAGATCCGCTACACAAACCAGCCCTCAGTAGGCAAGGACGGCAATGAAGTGGCTGCCGCGTCTGTAGGCCCCACCGATCTTCCACGTTGGGACGACTGGCAAACACATCGTATTGACTGGCTGCCCAAGAACAGCTACTGGTACCTCAACCAGAAGCAAGTCGCCGCCAATACATACTCTGTACCCCGCGAGCAGAGTTTCATGGTCCTGAACATGTGGAGCGATGGTGGAGAGTGGAGTGGCGATATGGAAGTGGGCGATAATGCCGAGTTCCATATTCAGTGGATCGAAATGACATTCAATACCAGTGGACCGTACACTGGTAAGCCTCAGCCTCAGGAGGACAAGAGAGATACGACAAGTTTGTTTGGAAGGAAGAGGTCGGAGAAGAAATGCAAAACTGTCTGCAAAATCGATGACGTGAAAGAAGTCGGTACACCGGAGGTTGTTGAAAGCGGTGCCATGGGCATGAGCGTTTCTTGGGGTCTGTTGGCTTTCGTAGGTCTTGTGTCTGTCGTAGTCGGGTTCTAGAGACTGGGCTCGCATGGTAATGATTACATTAATTTTCAAGTCACATCCTACGTTTGATTTCATCTGACGCTACCTCTATTAACTACAGTACCAACTTCCCCAGTAACCGTGATCTAAGTCGTCTTGCATCTCTTGTGGTGTCCTAGGAAATATCTTGCATGTAGAACCTTCAACATAATGTCGCCGGCCATCTTTATGATCCACGTCATATCTGCGACAGTTGTCCAGTGGGGGCGTGTACCGGAATTTCGTGACATCAGTTAATTCTTCTAGGCCACCGTCCGCGAGTCCTGAATCTGATTAGCAACTGATCTTCCTTGTCAAAGCTTGTTCGGTCACAGCTTACCCGCAGTGTGACAATCCGCTCGCAGAGAGATATCGAAGCTGATAGCGGGTGCATGCAACGACACCTCTTGACGGATGTACAACAGGTGGTTGAGGTAGCTAGTTATACGATCAAAAGCACCAAACAACTTCTTGTACCAGTACACATGGATACTTTTCAAATGAAGAAACCGACCATTTCGACGAGCTTCTAACAGACCTCTGATATATGGGTCGAAAGGTTTACCGAATGGACTGCAGGCTAGGTCAAGCCACAAATGTTCAATCGTGTCTGGAAGAGCGTCTGATAATACAAGGGACGTATCGGTTGTATACCAACGTACAGAGTCGTAGCCGAGAATGGTGTAGGGATTGATTCGTAAGGACTTGAGCGAAGTCAACAAGGAGCCGATGCGGAATTCGCCTGGACTGCAACGATGATGACGCTTGATGATTGCCAGTTGATCCCCAAGTGACAATTTCACAAGAGTATCGCTATGTCCAAGAAGGGCTGTACCAACGTCCTCGTAGAACGTAATGTCAAAAGGTGCATGCTTGTAGGGCATTACCACTTCGAACTCAGTGATGGCTTTGCATGCAAGTAGCATGTTTGCTATTATCGATCCACTGACACGCGGAGATAGTAGCGATAGCCTAGTGATGGAAGACGTGCGAAGAGGCCATACCCAGGGCTCTCCTATGAACGCCGTGTCGTTCTTATCTGGCATCATATTCCTATGGACGCCATATTCATGATACACCGCCTCGAACTGATATTGATAGTCATCGATATCCATGTTTCTGTTATTGTAGTCGATGTTAAAGCTCACGCTACCGCAATTTCCAAGCGTGAGATCGACCAGATTGGGAAGACGGAAGAAAGGCAGCACATGGCTGACTGACCATTCGAGGCCACTTTGGTACACGTCAAGATGAAGGACTTTGAGCTTTTCAAATCCACCCGTGTGAGCACTATAGGAGAGGCTGTTCAGCAAGAAGCTTGTGTAATTCCCGTCCAACTGTAATTTGGGTAAGCGAATCCAGAGGCGCTCCAGATTAGGTGCAGAGAGGACACATGGTGTAAGTAGTACATCTTCACCGAGGATAGCTCGCTGAAGAAGATCTTGATCGTCAGCATGTTTTGGATCATTGTCCATGACTGAGATGAGCTTGGCAAGCCATTTGTAGTGCCCTGGGATATCAGTTGGCAGTTCTTCCACTTGTTCATCACCTCTCTTTTCATCGCTCTCTTGTGCGTCACGCGGACGTCGCTTTTGATAGCGACAGTGTCTTTCATTGTAATCCACTCGCTCCTCGTCCCCGCTCTCGTTTCCCGAAAGCATGACGTGGCCCGCCCAAAAGTCGCCGGCTTCAAAGCCGTCCTCCGTTTTCAGTCTTATACTCTTAATGTACCGGCACAGCTCCATATTGTTGAGCAAGGTTTGTGGTAGCTGACGATAGGCCAAACTGTCCACATCACCTACTCTCTCTATGAATTCGTAGACGAGCGGCGCGGCAACATCTCTTAGTCTTCGAGAGACGCGACTCAAGACATGGAGATCTGGCGAGCGATCGGCTACGGGTGGTGAACTGAAGTCTGTGACTGGCGGGGTGTGCAGGTAGCCGAAGATTTGGAGGAGCAGTTCATTTGGTAGTCCCTCCATAGCTTCAGAGTCCGAGCAACACAGACGTTGAGTGTAGAAGGCAAAATGAAGATGGCCGAGGTGAGGGGTTCGCGTTCATAATAAACGCGTCTGCGCTGGTGCCTGGCGTTAGCGTCAGGCTTCCCACGCTAGACCTTTCCTGGTCAAACGCTGCGGATGTCCTGCCGCCCCCGAGCCTCATGCTTACTCTTCTCGCTCACGCTCTCCAGCGCTATCTGCCCATGTTGTCGTCGCAAGACCTCTCAGCTAGCCTGTGTTAGCTGCCAGGTATTAGATGAGTCTCCGCGCCTCCACAAAGTGTTTGCTGCCAGTCGTTCATGATACTATGCATTCATAGGGAAGACCCTTTTTCCGATTCGCTGTCACTATATCAGGAACCTGCATCGGCGCAGCGAGATTCAGTTATTCCTGATTTCCATGTCGTTATGTACCTTGTCTAATCCGTAAACAAAAATTATTTTTGAGCTCGTCCAGCATCCGCTACTGGGGCAGCGCTTGATTAACTGTCCGAAGATGCTGCGCTCATTGCCTGCGTACGTGGCTTAGCCAGGTTGTCTGGCCCGATCGTTACGTTCTTATATACCTCAACAACCGGTTTAGAAGAAGCGAGTGGGAACGCGCGCACTTGTCTGGCCCGATCGTTACGCCGTTCACGCATACGCTCCTTGTCAAACTCTCGTGATAGCTGTTCAAAATGTTGTGCAAGCTCCGATATTCTGCTCGGCCCGTTGTGGGGCATCGAACGAGGCATTAGGGACGGGGCTTTGGATTGTTTTGGCGTGGTCGTCAATCCCAGCCTAAGCCGCTCAGTCAAACGCTCAAAAGCTCTCTCAGAATCGTTTGCGTAAAGAGTGTGCCTTTCAGGGGCCTGTTGTTTAACCTGTTCTGGGGTCCATTCCGGATGCTGTACCATATTGGATCCGCCAAAGGCTTGACTCTGCTTAAGGTAGAGTGTGACCCGATGGAAGCAAAGCTTGAGCTCATGTTCCGTAATGTCTTCCACTCTCGGCCCGCTTGTATCGTGTTCGGATACCGCTTTACCTTCTTCCACATCTTCTTCTGAACTGAGCTCAACAATTCGTTGATACGTCAGTTGGCAAGTTCGACTAGTTCTCTTCAGCAGTCGTCCTAACCCTATACAAAGAACTCACCAGATTGTATTTTGTCCCTCGAAAAGCTCGTTGTCAGTCCCACAATGCGGACATGCTGTCGTTGCGATTTCACGAAACTTGATACTCAGGTATCTGCGCTGTCCAGGCTTCATGATGCTTTTCCAAGGCGACCGTAGGTTGAGCATGTGCTCGTTCTCATCTTGGAGTAAGAACTCCCCTTCGATGAACTTCGCTGAGCCCTTAGCTTTAAATCTTTCTTCAAGCATGTCTCTCGCGGCGTTCGCCATAAACTGCTGGAATTCCTGGGCAATGTCAGCCGTTTGCAGGAGACTGTTGGAGTTTACAGCTGTGTCGTACAAGCAATGAGCTAACTCTGTCGAGACTAAGGCCAATGACCTCATACCCGGTGATTCCTGTGAAGATGGTCACAGGGTTACTGAAGAAGATGGGCTGTGGGATATTCTGCTGTGAGAGTATCTGCTGGTACATCTGTGGGGAGATGTTATGCTGCACCATGTGGTCAACAAGCGCACTCCGTGGAGCTTCTCGCTTAATAAGTGCGATAAAGTCTAGTATCGCCGATAATGAGGGAAATGTCTGGACGACAGCTGGATCATTTCGCACATCGCGGTGTTCTCGTCTATCGTGACTTTGATGGTCGAAAGTTTGTTGTGTATTTTCATGGGGTGAGGTAGAGACTGTGTCTAGTCATCTGTCAGCTATAGGACATGCCGAAACCGAAGTGTATCGTTGCATGGATTCACTCAGGTTCGACTATGAAGATTTCATTCCTAACCTTGGATCAGGATCCTCGCACAGCGTTTGATCTGCCTCTCAACTTCTACCTCTGCGAGATAATTCCTAGTGTGTGCCGAGATAGTACTCGACTCTTTCCAGTCGGACAACGTTATGTCATCCAGGCCTCTCGTCACATCAAAACGGAAGTAGGCGGCTTCCGACAACCTATGCGAAAGGCGGCGATGCACAGATTGGGAGTGGCTTGCCATACTCTTGAGTGCTCTGATGATTGACCGCCGGGTATCTTTGATTGTTATCACGTCTCCTAGACCAGTTCCAATGCTCGCAATGCAGTCGTATGTGCCACCTGGGAACATATCTTCCGCTTCGCTTAACAACACCTCGCTGGGATTGTTGTGTCCAAAGCCTGCATCAATAAACTCGATATCTTGATGACCTATGGAAATCGATTCAAAGAACGTAGTTGCTGCAGAGGTTGCGCGCGCGACCTCCCATATCTTGCAGTGCTTGAAGTCATCGCCAATGCTATATGTCTTGAACTTCGTAGGCAGTGCACCGACGTCTGCCTTGGTGACGGCGAGGACGACACTATTGGCTGTTCAGCTGGCGAGTGTTTGGATATGGGAGAGTGAGACTTACGTCTTCACGCAAGTCCTGTCAGCAAAGACGGCTTCTTCATCACCCGTGCGTTCTTTCACAATCTTCTTGACAGCGTCTGCAAGGGCTTTCCCCGCAAACTCACCATGAGGTGATGCTGGGAGGCTGAAAGTCCGAGAGAGCTTGTTTCCTTTCGGCGTAAAGGCTTGCTCTGCCATCCGCTTGTATGCTTCGAGACACTGCTTGACGGTCATGCCCAGACGTCCAAGCATGATCGCAATGATTCTGTGAGATTAAGCTTCGACCCATTTTGGCTCATAGAGTTGGACCCACCCTCCTGTACTCGTGCCTCCGATCAAGTTAAAATACTTGCACGGTGGGGGAGTCTTCTCCAGTCCGCAATCATCTCTGATTTGCTCCATGATTCGTTGCAATATCAGCAGAGTGGAGATGCCACGAATCCCGCCTCCGTCTTTCGAGCTTTAGTCACTCAGTATCGTTGTCGATCTCATTTCTTACTCACCCAGACATAATACTCGTTTTGGCTGCGAAGTCGACCATGTCACAGGCTGATCGTTCCCTGCACCTTCATGCTGGTTCGATGCATCGTTTGAGCCATTCGAAGGATTTCTTGGCATTTTGTTCCAGGGTTGAGTAAGCCCACGGCTACAGGAGATGAGCTCGTGTCTCTCGAATGCCGATGGACAAACCTATGTATATATACTTGCTTGCCTCAAGCCTGCAAGACCGTAAGTGCGCTCGTCCTCGACAGATATGTAATCTCCGGTTTCTAGAGGTGGGGGATGTTTCGAGCCTGCAGCCTTATCGAATGACGCTTCGGAAACCGTCTTCAAGCAGTGCTAGTCATGTCGTGGTATGCCTTGGTAGATAGGATGTCGCATGCATTCGTGTGCGGAAAAACGATGTAGTAAGGTCGTGCCGCAGCGATGGAATCGTGATAGCAAAGGATTGGAGATTGTCAAGTGGGTAGGAAAGGCTGCTGACAGCTGTTCAAGGACAGACAACACGTGATGCTGCATGGCAGGCTGAGCCCGAAGCAGCGCCACCTACGACATCTAGCATTGAAACAACCCTGGTTACCAATAGTAAGCGCAGTCACTGTTCGCACAGGTCTGCCACAAGCCAGTCTAGTTGGACTCAAATACTACTCAAGTACCACGTATTACATGGCATTCGTGTTAGAGACGAAGCACACTCCACCGAAACAAAACCAAAGCCGCTCAACCTTACCTAGATATTGGTGGCTCAGTGCCGTTTCTCAGCTCAACACCCTACCAATCCAATATCTCCCAACCATCCTTGTATCCTTGGAGTAGCAACGTGTATCGCTTGATATGGATCAAATTACAGGCGCGGCATACCACACGCTAGAACAGTCATCGAGCGACGAGAGTCGAGAGCTACTCCGAAGCGACGATGACCAAAAAAAAGTGATCAATGGATTCCATCTTCCATGTCGATAGATGTGCAAAGGCGAAGTTGTATTCCCCTAGCAGGCTCATCTAGAAAACAGACACGTCCAGTCCATCATGCCGATAGTTCCAGTGAGTCATGTGCTCTGACAGCCAACCCTTATCTGATGTTTGCCGTCCACTTGATCACATTCAACCTTCACCTGCATCCTATACTACCAACTGATGGGTTTGGAGCACGAGGTGTCGCAAGTCGTCGCTGTATGCCTTAGGCAACCTACGCTAAACTCCTCCCGTTCAAAGGATCATGAAGGCCTTGACGAGTTCATTTCCCAGACAAATGAATAGGCAGAAAAAACGGTAGACTAATCCACAAGTGACTCTGCATGGTCAGTCTTAGCCGTAGTTCATGGGCCTTATCCATGGGGTTGACGAGAATACAAGAGGGTTGGGCGGGAGCGCTCTCGAACTGTCTTCTTTTTCTCCTTTTTTGGTTATTCAACTTTTCGCATCTCCAGTCCTTCTTTCTATCTTCTTTTTTAGCGATTTTCCCAGTTCTATTGATCAACTAACACCTTCAGCTGGAAGAATCTCCGACACACAGTCCCTACTATCCCTTACCTCACTCTCGCTCCTCGTCTTGCCAACAGTCGCGATGACCGGCATGGTCGGAACGTGCTACTTCGCCAACGGAACAGCGCTCCCCATAGATCCCATCTACAACCAATACCAACCGTGCCAGTCCGGCGGCCCTTCCACGATATGCTGTGGCATCTTTCGTGACAACGTCGCCGGAGGCAACGTTACGGCTGGCGACACAGTGGACGAATGTCTGCCCAACGGCCTGTGCCAGAACCGAGCAACAACGACAGATGGGGTGGAAGAAACAAAGTAAGCAGAGTCGATGATATAAGTGCTACAGAATGACGATTAACACTAATGCCTTGTCCAGATTCTTCGTTGATTTTTGCGCCGACGACAACATAGACAGTCCCAGCTGTCTCAACGTCTGCGACCAAGTGCGAGATTCCTTCGGCATTGCACAATTAACGCCCTGCGACAACGGACGAGCCGATAGCGATCGATGGTGTTGTGGCGATAGCACGGCTTGCTGTACGAGTAACGTTGGAGTAGTGAAGTTGCCACAAATAATGGGAGCTGCAGTGTCGTCAAGTCGAGCAGGTTTGCCAACTACAACACCGGTTTCCAAGGTATCGTCAGCATCGACAGCCTCAACTCCTACGGCGGGGACGGAAGCACCAAACAATTCACAACCTGCTGCGGTGGGGAATGCTGGAGAAGATGCTCGTGTCACTGGAGGCGTGATTGCAGGCATCGTCGTCGGTGGTGTCATAGGGCTGGCTCTGCTGGCAGCCGCCGTCTTCTTCGCAAGGAGGGCGTCCAAGTATAAGAGAGAGGCAGCGGTATCGAAATACGCTCAAGACATAGCTGGATGCTTGCCCCAAAATCCGGATCAGGGACAAATGTCAGATTATCAAAAGTACATGCACGACAGCCAGCACACCTATAGTTCCGCTCAGCCGTCTGAACTACCACCAGCACCACCAAGCGAGCTTCCGTCATTCGAGCCGCGTCCTCCAGGAACTACACTGCCGCAACGATGAGGGGAGATGCACAATCCGTGGGGGTAGTGGAGTTGCTTGTGGGTCGATCTGGGCGTGGAAGAGGAGACATGTCGTCGAGGCGCGTGAGGCATTAACGCAGGTGTTCGTTTTCCGCGGATTTCTGGGCCTGCGCGCGAAGCCTACGCAAGACGACCGTCCTGTCGGAACTGTACATGCACTTGACTAACATTGATGCGGGGCTGTTGAGAGAGGTTGAATGTAGCCAGAAGCACACGGGACGGCCTTTCTTTTATCGGCCACGGGCATACACAAGTGCTGGCTTACCTTGGTTACTTACACAGTACATGGGACCGCGGCCCCGCTTCATCGAGTGTAACCCCAAGGTCGATTCTCTTGTGTGTAGAATGTGAGGAAGTTTAGAACAGATAGCATTCTGACTCGTATAAACGGATTTTGACAATTCGCATGACGAAAGTGGATCCACCTAGACGTCTGCGCGGTGCGCTCCGCGATGCATGAACGTGTGGGATTCGTCGCGGCATTGGTTGAGGTGCATAAGCGAGTGGCAGCGAAAACGGTGATGTTCACATGTCAGAGCATTTTGACGCCATGTTGCGTTATGCGCGCAGGCGAAGACGAAATGCATTATCGATGAGGGCAGGCGGCAGGATGCGGGGATGGAGGGCAGTCCTAGAGGGAAACCTAATTGAGACATGGGAAGCACGGAAGAGGAAAGGATGAATCTTGTTGCGACGGGTTTAGCGGCCGGTGACGTACCGAGCTGGGTCTCGATTCACGGTTCTCAGCAGAAAATTTCCCAATTGCAGCGCCCCATGCTTTCCGACAAGCCGCGCAATCCTTGCAACTGACGGCCTTTCACTATCATGTCTGGTGTCCGAGGAAGCTTCTTTGATTGTCACCTCCGTCGCGTCGAGGCACTGTTATATCCGCCTCCAGCTGTGTCTAGCGGCCGGTAGTCCCTTACTGCCCACCTCTCCACTTATCTCTGCTTGGGCCTGGAGATGCTTCGCTGAGTTTTGATTGTTTCCTAGAATTATTCTTAATCAGGCGCCATGCCGTCACGTCTGTTCTCTCGCGACTCGCCCGCCGCAGAACAACAGCTTCCCTTCACCAGCGACAGCGTCAACGAAGCCGACTTCGCCCAGGATTCGTCGCAAGCTGAGCATGGCGGACACTCGCTCCCGCGCCGGATAAGAGGGGGTTCAATCGCCTCTGGGCCCCTCTCTGGATCGTATACGCGCAATCCCATCCGCTCCTTTGCGCACCAGACGTCGCATGGCTTCGCCGCCGATACCCCACAATACTCGTCACAAGGCGTGCGCGAGAGAAGCTCCCAGTTGGCCTCGTATGCCCTCGAAGCCGAAGACTACCAAGACAGACCGCCCTTGTCTGACAACGATGAGGGGCGCGGATCGATAGACACGGGTCGTTGGACCGATACCATCGACGAGGATAGCGAGGCAGAAACGCCCGATACCGTCATCGGGCCCCAGCAGGACAAGAGCTTCTTCAGCCCCAGGCCGGCAAACCCACACGTGCCTGGCGTCGTTGTCGAGGATACTGAGCGGACCCCTCTGCTCCCCCAAACTAGGCTGTCGCGCGGGGGCCCGCAACAAAAGCAGAAGGCACAAGAGAGCCACTCATGGACACCACAGTCAAAGTTGCGCTTGCCTCAACGCGTCAAGCACACATTTGCTGTTGGGCGCGAACACATTCTGGGCGTGGGCCAGTCGCTCACAAATCCGAAGAACTACACCACGGATGCCCTCATTTCCAGCGCTCTCGGCACCGTCCAAATCACATCGGCCGTCTTCCTCGGACTGCTCCTGAACCTCTTGGACGCCTTGTCTTATGGTTATATTCTGTTTCCTCTGGGCGCGCCCATCTTCAGCAACACCGGCCCGGATGGCATCTCCATCTTCTTCGTCAGCTGCATCGTATCGCAGCTCTGCTACTCTCTGGGACTCTCCGTCTTCAAGGGCGGTGTTGGCTCCGAGATGATCGAGGTGGTGCCCTTCTTTCACAAGATGGCATACTCCATCATGGAGCAGATGGAAGGCAAGCCACCAGAGGCCATCATAGCCACCACCATTGTGTCCTACTGCTTGAGCTCCATTCTAACCGGTCTCATCTTCCTTGCCCTCGGCGCGTTCAAGCTAGGCAATCTCGTCAGCTTCTTTCCAAGGCACATTCTGATCGGCTGCATCGGAGGTGTTGGCTTCTTCCTCGTCGTTACTGGCATCGAGGTTTCCGCGCGTCTCGAGGGTAACCTCAACTACGATCTCCCTACCCTGCAGAAGCTGTTCTCTGGAGACACCTGGTATCTGTGGACACTGCCTCTTGCTCTTGCCATCACCATCATGGTCCTACGGCGCCTGTCCAAGAGCCCATTCGTTCTCCCCGCATTCTTCATCACTGTATTTGCTGTCTTTTACCTCATCGTCAAGGGCATCCTACACAAGGATCTCGAGCCTGTACGCAACGCAGGTTGGATCTTTGAGACACCTGAAGCTGGCGTCAAGTTTTACAGATTTTATTCTTATTTCAAGTTCGGCAGCATAGATGGAGCGGCACTTGCTAGCACTATCCCGACCATGTTCGCCCTCTCCTTCTTCGGTATCATCCATGTTCCTATCAACGTCCCCGCTCTAGGTGCTGCGGTGCGAGAGGACAACCTTGATGTCAACCGGGAACTGATCGCCCACGGCATCTCAAACACCCTCTCCGGTTGCCTCGGTAGTATTCAGGTAGGGATGTCTTGAAATGCTATACGACGATTGCTAACATGTTGTTAGAACTACCTGGTCTACGCCAACAGCGTCATGTTTGTTGACAACGGAGGTAACAGCCGACTCGCAGGTATCTTGCTTGCCTGTGCGACAACTGCAGTCTGGGTTGCGGGGCCAGCCATGGTCGGCTACATCCCCATCTGTCTGGTCGGCGCGCTAATCTTCCTCCTCGGTATCGATCTTATGAAAGAAGCTCTTTGGGATACTTTCGGAAAGTGTCACAAACTCGAGTACTTGACCATCGTGGCCATTGTACTCATCATGGGCGTGCACGATTTTGTTGTTGGCATCTTTGTGGGTATCGTCCTTGCATGCGTCAGCTATGTGGTGCAGAGCTCGCGCCACTCAGCTATTCGAGGAACATACAGCGGCATGATTGCAGAATCCACTGTTCGCCGCCCGCGCTCAGATTCTCGCTACCTCAACAAGGTGCGAGGCCAAATCCGCGCCATCAAGCTAGGCGGTTTCCTTTTCTTCGGAACCATTGTCTCTGTTGAAGAGTACATGCGCTCGTTGATTGACGACGACAACTTTGAGAAGAACCCCATCAGCTTCATCATTGTCGACTTTACAAACGTCATGGACGTCGACTTCTCCAGTTCAGAGGGATTCCAGCGAATCAACCGTATCTTAAACACCAAGAACGTCAAAATGATCATCTCCGGCGTCTCCTTTGCTGATCCCGTCGGTCGTGCCCTCCAAAACGTTGGTCTGCTCGACGAAGACGGCGATGAAGAGTGCCCTCCGCCACAAGTCTTCGAGGACCTAAATACAGCGCTTGAGTCTTGTGAGAACGAGCTACTAGAAGTCTTCCACAAGCACTGGAACCGCCACTCGTCGAAATCTCAAACCACACCGCCGATGAGTATATCCGGTAATGGCAAATCAAGCAACGAACCCATCGCGACAGGCGGCTCCCCCACATCCTTTGGCGCCAGCTCCTTAAACCCCGTCTTCTCCTCCCCACGCCGTGGCGCCCGCCTAATCGCCGCCCGCTCCACTATGCGCGAGTCCGGCGAGGACACCCTCTCCATAGCAGACAACTCGTCGCTCAACATCAATAGCAACAACCAACCCAGCCAAGCAGTAGCAGCCCCCTCGCGCTGGCGCAACTTTGCCCAGCCCCTCAAAATCATCCTCCAAACTTTCGAAGACGTGTCCACCAAGAACGAAGACTTTTGGCACACGTTAGCCCCGTACTTTGAGCGCAAAGAATACCCCGCGGGCACCGTCTTGTACTCGCGCGGCGACGACCCAGACGGCTTCTACGTCCTCGAGCAAGGTCGTCTGCGCACAGAGTACGAGCTCGATCAGGGTAGCTTCTTTGAAGTCATCTTGCCGGGGACAACGTGTGGCGAATTGCCTTTCTTCAGCGAAACCGATCGCACGGGGACGGTGGCGGCGGAGAATGATAGTGTGGCGTGGCTCTTGACGAGGGATAGGTATAATGAGTTGGAGAGGAGGGAGAAGGAGGTTGCGACTGAGTTGTTGAAGGTGGGGCTCAAGTTGACTAAGGAGAGGATGGATGCTATTACTAGTTATGTGCTTGTTACTGCGTCTTGAGATGGGGAATGGAGGGTGCCGGTGGTGTGGGACGATGATGATGAGATGAGGGAGGGAATGTCTAGAGAGAGAAAGAGAGAGAGAGAGAGAGAGACAGAGAGAGAGAGTACGTGTGGTAGATGTATTGGAGGGATTCTGTCTTGTTGCATAGCGTGTGGTTGTCTGTTTTGTCGTTTGATATATACCACGGTGACGATTCGCTTTTTTATTTTCGTCCCTTTTTCCATCATTTCTCGCTTTCGGTATTGAACAATATGCAGCCCGTTTCCATTCTTGAGCGCTAGGATTGTTGGTCGTCTTGAACTCAAGAGTAGTACAATCTTGATGTGTAACCTGGACAAGCCCTTGTTGCCGTCAACGGAAGAGAATGGGAAGAAAACACATGGAACAAAATATGAGGTTGGTGCCCTACTAGCGTCATCAACAATCTGGTTAGACTTTCCTTCCCGCCGCGCCCAAAAAAAAAAAGTCACCTAACCTAAATGTGCCCACTCACTCATGGAAGGGGAGAAAAAATTACAAAAAGAATAAACACAATGTTCTAGCTGCTGCTCGTTTCGATCGAGCGTCCTCCGGGTTATGAGCCCGGCGCGCTTCCGCTGCGCCAAGCAGCTTTGATGAACAGTTGTTATTGGTGTTCGATGAAGTTTTTGAAAATAACATGTATTCCATAGACAGAATGTTGATGCTCCAATGGGCGATCATTTCACTTGCGGATCTTGCTGATCGATAGTCTCATTAACGAGCGGTGTGAAAACTATGGCAAGTGGGTTAGCAAGAGGTGGGGCATGGGCGAGAGTAAAATTTGATAGTAGACGTGAGTTATGTTCCAAAACAACCAGCTTTCCTAACCCACGACAAGACGTGGTTAAGCTCGTGTAATGGAAAGCTGGGGTACGAATTCAAGGTTAGACATTATCACACAAAAACAAAAACAACAACGTTTGTTGTCTCATGTAGTTATGATGATGTTGGTAATGGAAGAATAACAGACTTGACTACTACTACTCTCAGCATCTGCTAAATGGAGAAAACACATTGGTCTTATTACGAGAAATCTAGAATTGCCAATCTGACCACAAAGGAAAATGGTATCCCTAAGCTGAAAAAAAAAAGATTGAAACGCACTCTGCAAGTTCAACATGAGCAAAGACGAGAAGTAGTAGAAGAAGAGGAAGAGACACCTCAATAGCCTTCTTCTTTTTCTTCATCTTCTTCTCCAACACCATCTTCCCCAACACAACCAACATCACACCCCCCTCGCCTCACACAAATGCCCACTCTTACTCAACACCGTCCCCAACCCCCTATGCACCTCGACCTGAAACCCTTCAAACGGCACCCTCTCCCCATCAATACTAATATACCCATCCTTCTGATCCCTGGGAATAATCCTATACGCGCTAACCTTTTGGTAATCCACATGTTCCAGATCAAAAAACGTGTGATTTTCAATCGCAAGCAGCGTCTTGATAGCGGTATGGCGCGCAATATCGCCACGGATACGAATCAGATCCAGACAGCCGTCTGACGGCAAGCTAGCCGGAAAAAAGTTCGCGTCGGCAGACATGTATGCAATGTTGCCTGCGTAAAAGTTTCCGAGCGTGTTGTGGGGGATGAGTTGCCAACCAGCGGGCAAAGGGTCACTCGCAGTCCCATATCTCAGGGCTGGCAGACCGGCGTCAGGCGTGGGCACAATGCGCTCATCATCGGAACTAGGCGGTGCTTTACTCGCCTCATTCTGGTACGCTTCCCGCACGGCAGTCTTGTTGTCGTATTCGACTTTGACCGCGATATCAGCCGGATAACACGTCTTGCTCACAAGGCGGACCAAGAACCCCCAGGTAAACCTCGCCGCACCCATCCACCTCAGATGCTCCGTCGCCAGATCCGTCTCGGCCACGATCCCCACCGCCTGCGAGAGAAACGAGAGCGTGCGGCGGTCTCCCTGCGTCACGCTCGACAGATCGAGCGGCGTGCGGATCCCCTTTACGACGGCTAGCGCAGCCAGACTGGGGTCATCGGTGCCGTTGAAATTGAGACTCATGGCGTTGCCAGATCCGCAGGGGAGCTGCGCGACGGCCATCTTGTGCAGCGCGCGTGCAGCGTCTGCGCGCTTGCCCAGCCCGTTCCACACTTCGTGCGGGATGCCGTCGCCCGAGCAGCACGCGACGACATCGTACGCTTCAATGTCGAGGCTCTGTGCAATCTCTACGCCGTGACCGTTGTGTGTCGTCTTCTCGACGTCGAGGTCACACCGTGCGGCGGCGAAGATGGGCGCAATCTGCTTGTGGTAGGTTTTGACGGCGCCGCCTTGTCCGCCAAAAGGGTTGACAAGTACTTTGATTCGTTTACGTCGCTGCGAGGGGCCGTAGGCGCGCGAGAGTAGCTTCTCTATCCAAGCTTCCGTCAAGCGACTGTCGGGTTTGTCCAGGGCGTAACTAACGATTGCGGGACGCACGGCTTTCTTGGACAGGGTCTGCGCATATTGTATCGTGACCTGGCCGTCCTCGGAGTGCTCGGCCCAGAGGATGTTGTAAAAGGGTATGGAACGAGTGGATTTGTTCTCTGCGTTTGCGTAAGCGGGGACTAGGCCGTCTGCATCTTGTCCACATGCTTACTGCCAGCAAGAGACAGGCCGCAGCAGCCGGCGCTTTTACTCTCTAGAAGCGCTTCATCTGTACCGCGTGAGTCGCGTATTCGCAGGCCGTGGTTGGCGCTGCGTACCTAGGACAATGAGGGAATCGGTTCCAAGAGTCAGGGAAGCATTTCTGCCAACAGCGAGTGTGTCAGGGACGTTGAGTGGTTGTGATTGCGACGGATTCGCATTCATGGGCGGCTGCGAAGGAGTGGAATCGAGCAGAGGGTCTCGAAAGGGATCGTCGGTGCCAGCCATCGAGGCCATGATTATTGTAGGGTGTCAAGAGAGACGACGCACAGCATGCTGTGCAAGGCAAAGAGGACCAGGAAGCAAACGCCGAGATTAGTAGACACGAGGTAAGCTGACCACCGTCACGCTCATGCGTACGTGCCCTGCGCTGCAAGGGCGGATCCTTGCGGATCACTCGTGCTAAACAAAATGGAAACAGACCCGCTGGAACCTGCGCGCGGGACGCGAGCCGAGGCATCTCCAGCTCCACCACCCATGTATGCAGCCTAGACAATAAGGCAATAAACCTCGTTCACATGACAATCAGAATTGATCTTGAATTCTTGTGTCTTTAATACATACAGCAATGCTGAACAAGCATTTACCCTATCCATCGCGTCTTTGCTCCAACGCGCCCAAATGCAACACTTCAGGACTAAAAGCCAAGCGAGAAGCCTTTCTTTTTGTTACCGTTTCTTTAGGAGCAAAACGCCCATCTCCCGTTACCCCAGACGAGGAGCAAGTGCTTTTTAGCCGGGAACTCATGCCACGCCAACCTTATTCAGACCCTTCAACGATCCCAAGCTCAATGCCAAGCCTTGGGAGCGACTTCTTATGCGGACGAACCCGGTGATAGGACCACTGTCACCCTCCTTCTCAATGCTCAAGTTGGCCAGAGCATCCTCACCTGATTTCTGTTAGCAGTGCAAGTCTAGGGTCGGGCCGTGCAGACTTACCGAAAACACTCCTGGCATACAAGTTGGCTGACAAGAACTGGCAGTCGCCCTTCATCGATGCTTCTGGAGTCAAGCAGCTCATATTGGTACATGCCATGAGTTGCTTCAAGAAATCACGTAGCGTCTTGGCCTTGGAGTTGATGTTGACCTTGTTCTCCCACTCAAACTCGGTCCACATGGTCCGGAATTGCGTTTCTGTGCATTGCGCGGGCTTGATGTAGTCCATAATGTCGACGTGGACGTCATTGAGAATGACGACGTTGGAGTCGACACCCTTCTCACTGTGACATGTTAGCAATTATTGTCGACTGTCGAGGTGAATGACTGACCCTTCGTAGATGATGTTTCCAAAGATGACACCAGTGTCGGTAGATGAGACTGCAAAAGTAAGCATATGAGTCGACACGCAACTCATGGAGAAAGACTTACCCTTAATCGTCGCTTGGATGTTGATGAAGTCGTGGGGCCCAACATTCTGCGTTGAAGGGCGCTCGACTACCTTGAGGTCTCCGAGTGTTGCGAATTCGATAGTGAGGTTTTGTAATGTCTCAGTCGTCTGATTCACGAGAAGAACATCGAGAACGATATCGAATTGGTGAACCTGGTAAAGTCAGCTAACAGTCTCGGTAAGTATAGATTGACGTACCTTGACATAGGCTTCTGCGTAGACTGAGTCTGAGAAACCTGTAAGCTGTACGACGCGACTGAGTTTGGATGTGAGATCCTCAGTCGCAGTGTCGCCTCCAGTAGCTAGTTCTAGATCTTGCTCGACACCGTCACTGCCATCCGCGTCCTTCTTCTTTAATTGGCGGATGTTGAAAGAGTCATCGACGTTGACAGCCGACTTTGCACGCTCAGAAGCCTCCTTAGCTGCTCGCTTCTTCTCTTCCGTCTGAACCATTGTTCGGAATGATCTCCGGGTGTCCTCCAAGAAGACAGTCTCAAGCTCCTTTCTTTGCGAGAACTCAGAGAGCGAACGAACACAGGACATGATACGGTCGATGGAGTCTTCGTCAATAAACGTCTTGACGAAATGCGACTGGCCAACACGGATGATTGAGATCATTATGAGCATGGCCTCGGCGCGGAGAGCGTTGGTACGAGCGTCGTCCTTTGAGATTTCCTTGTGGCGCATAACGAGCTTGGTGAGAGTGCTGGACAAGACTGTGGCAAGATAGTAGTCGCCGTCGAGGAGAAGTTGTCGTAGTGGAGGCTTCTGTGAGTTCTTGACCGCCTCGAGCTTTGCCTTGGCAGCGGCGGAGGAAGTCAGAGCACTTTCAGTTGCATAGGTGCCATCAGCGAGCACTTTCCTTGATCCGGTTGGAGCTGCCTTTGCGTGTCCGTTGACTTGTTCACTGCTCTCTTTGCCCTCTGATGCATCATCCAACAGTCGTTGCTCAGAAGCAAGAATGGGAATCTCGCCAAGTGATGAACGGATACCCTTCCATGCATCACGGATATCCTTGGCCTCGAGGGAGAACTCTCCGATGATCCAGAGTACACCACGGTAAACCTTGCCGGCGCGTACTTCGCCAAGAGTCGAGACCAGTCGTTCGATGATGGAAGCTCTCAAATCTGGGAAGCGCTCAACAACCTCCTTGACAAACGAAATGACGTCGACTGCAGAAGCATTGCTGCTGACATCGGAGATGAAGTCCATGAGTGATCCGACGACGCTTGCTGCGACTTCGGGGAACTTGATGGCGGCGGAGTGTATCGACGAGATGAGGAGTGATCTGTATTCGGGGTTCTTCTCGTATTGTTCGTCCACCGTCTTCATTAGCTCCTTCTTCAGTAGCAGGACAACTTCCTCGACATTCCTGCTTGAGATCATCTCCATCGCGATGTTGAGCGATTTCTTCCGGACGTCCAGGTCGGTGCTGGACAGTACACGGAGGACCTCCATTGTCAGATCATCAAGGACTCCTTCATTCTTGTGTCGTAGTTGATCGACCCTCTCCAGGACAATCAGCTTGACATTGTTGTCGGGCTCCTTGATGGCCAGCTCGACAAACTTTGCAGCAGCGGCCTTTACGGCGACGGGGTTGCTTGTGAGGGTTGTAAGGGCGTGCGCGGCCTCGTAGATGACAGTCGAGACTTGAGATTCGAGGAGGTCGAAGATCAAGCGGAGGTAGCGGGCCTTGTTGGATGGGTTCACAATGGCATCTTTGCGGATGAAGTCTAGTTCAGCGAGAAGAAGAAGTTCTTCGTGGTTGGGTATGGCGTCAAAGACGGTGCTGAGGTATTCGAGAGCCTTTTCATGGCTGACGGAGACGAGGGCGGCGAAGGCGTTGCGCTTGCAAGTTGGGTCGTTCTCGTCGTCTAGGAATGTTACCAGAAGATCGGGCGCATCTGGCATGAGTTCGGGGAGATGTGTGAAGATGGACGCGATAGCGAAGGTTGCGTTCTTTCGCACGTATGCGTGTCGGTGTGCTAGGCACTGGCGCACCGGTTCTACAGCTGTCAGCACGACGCTTGGGAGAATGAAGGATATCGCTCTTACGTAGTAAGGGCTCGACAAGTTCAGCATCTCGTAGCTTGGTTCTGTTGCATGCATCAGCAATGTCCGGGGTGATGGCTTGGTGTATCCTACACGAAGCGCAATGTGTTTCCTCGTACGTATTCGTTGGGCGCCTGCAGGTCGAATCGAATCGCATTACTAGCACAGTCAGCAGCCGTTGCACTCAGCGTTGGCATCATGTCCTACCAGACGAGAATCCATTCCTGCCGTAGCTTGCCCTGAGCGTCGTGCTTGGGGCATACCTCGAAGAAGAAGTACATGAGCTTCTTGAGCGGCTTCGACTTGCTGGGCATGACGAATCGGATAATGTGCATGAGTAAACCGGCCTGGGGGTCGCCATTGAGCATAATCGAGAGGATCTTCTTCTGCAAAGCTGTCAGACAGTCGCATTCACTACCACCATCGCGGGGCACTGCAATTGCAAGAGCGCACCATAGTCTCGATCTTCTGCTCATCGCTGCCTTTTTCCAGAGCGTTCTTCAGCTCATTCTGTGATGGCACGTCGGCAGCATTGTCCTGGTGCACCTGTTGTTCTCCGTCAGCCTCCCCATGTCCCCAGACCCACTGCCAGGTGTTCCTACCAGACTGTACGAGTTCTCGAGGAAGGCCGCCATGATGCCCGTCTGGCTCTGGTATATGCGATGGTCCCGAGGTATACAGTATCCAGCTGCGATAACGTGACTCTCAAAGGCCTTCAGCCCTCAGTGTCCCTTGGTGTCCAGGATAAGTGGGATGCTACGTGTATCGATCGACTTGGGCGGTGGAGAGGATCGTGAGCTTTGGCGCAGCTGCAGGCAGGTGGCGGGGGTGAAGAGACGGAATTGCCCTGGCGCGAAGAGGTTGCTTCTTGGGTATCGGGGTGCAATGCTGGACTTGGCTGTTTACCTCCAGGTGTCTGCTCGAGAAATGGTCGCTCCAAGGCCGCCCTCGCTAGGCTTGCAGGGGTCCGGCCGCCAAGATCTCCAACTCACCTTGCTGCCGTCCAACATCAACACCACGACGCGCAGCTGAACACGGCGCATTTCTATACGCGCAATTTTACACATCAGCCATATTCATCCGCGAACATGACCACCAACGAGCCATTCTATCTTCGATACTAGTATGCAGCCCATCGGCCTCGAGAGCACGTGCAGTTGTTAACATTTTCGCAGCTCTGGCCACCAGGGCCGATTTGGACACGAGTTCCTGGGTGCGTACTGTCTGCAAGAGGGTTGCGGATGAGAAAAGTTGATTGTTGATCAGAGTTCGACTTTCGGGTGCTTGGAGATGGCCGCAGCGCATCTGCCCGTTATGCAAACAACTCCAACTACCGCAACGATAGCCTCATCCGGAAAGAGAGTATGAAATGCCCTGCGTTCGACGTAGCCAGTTTCTAACGCATCGTCAGTGTGTGTCAGCGATGCGTTGGTAGCCGAGATCAAGCGCATAGTCAAGGACAGTGAAATTCTCAAGTACGTCTCGAGCTATGGAAGCGCACACAACCATTTGCTAATCAGTCCTCCAGAGAAGATGACACAAAGTGGCCTCAAAAGAACAAAGATGGTCGTCAAGAGCTGGAAATTCGGTTAGGCAGCGAACACATTTCCTTCGAGGTAGGCTTGACCATGCCCATGACCTGTATTGATATTGACGATTGCAGACTGCAAAGATCGGTTCCCTCCAGGACGTGCAGGACTCGTCGGATCCAGAAGGCCTTCGTGTTTTCTACTACTTGGTACAGGACCTCAAGGCTCTGGTCTTCTCCTTGATATCTCTTCACTTCAAGGTACGCATAGCGCGCATTCGCATGTCGAGCATGCAAACTCACAACTCTACAGATCAAGCCAATCTAAGTCTTTCGCTGCCACATGTGAGCCACAGCAACGCTGCTTTTGCCGATAGCGCGCAGCCACTGCAGTGTGGCACAACCGCAGCTTGACGTCGAATGACGCAAGGACGGCGTATGGAGTCAACTAGAAGAACCACATCGTTTGTGGCTAGTGTCACCTGGTATCCGTGAACCTGTCGGGGATGATGATGTAGGAAAGAGAGGCGCCGCAAGGTCATCTGACCACGACTCGCTAGGTCTGACGGGGCGGCTCGGAAAGTCGCCATAGCACACTTGGCAAGGAACAATAATATGCTTTACAAATGTTCACAACAAGATCAGATAAAGGCTTCCTATGCTACCCACCTGGCCGTAGGCGTTCAGGGTTTTGGCCCCATGTCATCCCACGTGAGACTAGCGCCTTTTCCCCGCGTAAGTGCAGCGCTCAGCGACCCACTAACCGCCTAGACACGTCCGCCGAGTCCAAGTCATCCATCCAACATGCATGCTTGCCCATTGCCACTACTTCTGGCCCTGCACCTCTGTACTGTGTAATCGCAATCTCATCTTCCCTTCGTCTCATGTGTAATCGATCCATTCCTTGCTTGTAATCTCCTCGCACCTGCTATCGGACGATGCCGACGCCCGACGATGAAGCCATGGTCTCGCCGACGGAGCACGAGAGCATCGCTGGCCGCGCGACCTGTCCGCCAGAAGATGCGCGCATTATCCCTACCCACGAATTGACTGATACACCAAGTCCAAGTGTGCCCATGCAGCAGCCGACTCCCTCGCCGCAAAGCTCGCGCGAGCCTACCCAGGCGCCCGACGATATCCACAGCAAGATATCAAGCACCAACATAGAAGCACCAAGCAGAGATATACCCACCCCCATGACCGCGACCGACGATGGCACCGAGGAGCAACGCACGTCTCAGGCTTCGCCGCTTTCCACGGCGGCGCCAGTTTCGCTGCTCGCCAATCACCTGTCGTCGCCGTTTCCTGCGCATAGGGTGCGTTGTCTTCAGCATGCAGACCGAGCATTGCGCAACGTGAACATTGCTGATGGCGATACAGTTCATACCAAATACATCGTCCTCCCTCCTTCGGCCCGGTAGTCGCTTCGTGGGCACTCAAACCTCTGACCGTCAGAAGTATGAAGTCGAAGTCGAGATAAAACACGTCGACATGCGCGAGTCCTTCATGTGTGGCTACTTGCGCATCAAAGGTACGCACACGTCTTGCAGTACAATGTACAGAGCTGGCAGGCTGACTAGCTCATAGGTTTGACCGAAGACCATCCTAGCTTGACGACATACTTCGAGGGCGAGATCATCGGAAGCAAATACACATTCATTACCCAGCACCCGGAATGGGGTTCCAACGAAAAGGTTGACCGACAACATTGGGCGCGGTTCCCTGCATACAAGCCGCTGTCAAAGTACTCCTCTCGCCAAGAACTGGTGACCAAGGACTGGATGCAGAAGGAGCACTTGTTCATGCGATGGAAGGAATACTTCCTCGTGCCAGATCACCGCGTCAGGACAATAAGCGGAGCGAGCTTTGAGGGCTTCTACTACATCTGCTTCAACCAGGTCTCGGGTGGCATCGAGGGCATCTACTTCCACGCTAAGAGCGAGAAGTAAGTCCCATCCCCCATCTCTCCCTCAATATAGAAACGCGCTGACCCCATCGCTAGGTTCCAGAAGCTCCAGCTGGAACACGTCCAAGATTATGGATGCCAGGGCGCAATTGAATTCCGATAATGTTGATGATTGAAACGAGAATTTGGGCATTTGGGTGTTAGGATTAGCATTTGGGCGCACACACCGGGCTTGATCACACTTCTTGTATCGTATTTTCTTTCCCACGGACCATGTGCAGCGTGTGATAAGGTCGTAGGGCTTTTCTATAGTAACGTCCCTGGAACACCCAGGTCATGAAGTATTACGTCACTTGGCGACTTGCAAGAAAAGCAGCGCATTGTTGCGCGAACGGCTGTTGTGTTCACCCAATCTGCACTGGTGGACCAGAGACCCTGGCGCTAGCAAAAAACTCGCTTCGTGATACGCAACTACCGTAATCGACTATTACCTCAGCACCTGTGCATCTACCCTTCGACACCAACAAAGTTACTTGCCCATCCAGCAATTTGCCGCTATATTCGAACATCACGCAAACATGCCAGGCGAACCAGCAAAGCGCACAAGGCGCGAGGAATACAGGAAATCCCTCCAAACAGATGAGCAACAAGGCGCACTACCCAAGAAGAAGTTTTATAGACAACGCGCCCATGCAAATCCCTTCTCAGATCACTCTCTCACGTAGTAAGATTAATTTTGATGTTTTTGTTTCTACTGAGAAAAGTCAATAACATGGACGTAGCCCTACGAGCCCTGCAGACATGGACTGGGCCAGTCTGTACCCCAAGTACGCCAAACATGCAAAGAAAGAGATGGGAGAGGCGCAGAATGAGTCACATGATGTTAGCATTGAAGAGCAGCAGAAGCTTAATGCAATTACGCAAAATGTCGAAATCGCAGACATTGGATGTGGATTTGGTGGTCTACTCTTCGCCCTTGCACCGAAATTCCCGGATACATTGATACTAGGTAAGGATAACAACTTCACATGCCCGCACAGCTCCCATAGTCATAAAAAAAAGAACCCGGTGGCAAAACAAGGAACAACCAGCAAAACACTCTACACATATATGAATGATTATGGGAAACATTAACAAATTTTGCACAGGCATGGAGATTCGCACCTCGGTAACAGAATACGTGCAAGAAAAAGTCCGCGCCCTCCGCGTCCAAAACGCTTCAACGAATGCCTACCAAAACGCATCCTGCATTCGCGCCAACACGATGAAATTCCTACCCAACTTTTTTCAAAAACATCAACTCGGTAAAATCTTCCTCTGCTTTCCCGACCCGCATTTCAAGCAGCGCAAACACAAAGCGCGCATCGTATCGTGGACGCTCAACGCAGAATACGCCTATGTGCTGCGTCCGGGGGGTATCGTGTACACGATTACGGATGTCGAGGATCTGCATGTGTGGATGAGGGACCATTTTGAAAAGCATCCAAGTTTTGAACGCGTGGAGAGGGTGTTTGAGGAGGGGGAGACGGTGGATGGGGTCGAGGGCGTGGGTATGGATGAGTGTGTGAAAGCGATGAGGGTGGAGACTGAGGAGGGGAAGAAGGTGGAGAGGAATAAGGGGTTGAAGTTTGTGGCGTGCTTTAGGAGGGTGGAGGATCCGGCTTGGCCGGAGAGTGGTGGGCCTTGGGGTGGGTTGGGGGTTTGGGGATAAAGCGCTCTTTGGTAGTCAGGATTTTATGTGATAAGCTGTGAGGGTCGTGCAGGGAGTGAGTGAGAAAATATTCGTTATATGCCAAGTTCCTTTGCACAGATGATGTGCTCTAAACCATGAGGAATGGAAGCTCGCTGACACGACTGAAACCTTGATGTACACCAGAAGAGCTGGACACAATATAGTAGACTTAGCTACAAGGTGGTTTTATACACACTAAAGTTCTTTCTGCAGATCGCATTCGTCACATTCCACCGTATGGTCATCTACCGCATCTCTCGCTGCAGCGCCTAGCTACAACTGGACTAGCTACGAGACCACCAATTCGCACCCTTGGTAGAGGTGGATGGACACATACCCACGATCAGTAGAGACCCCAGGTTAAGATCTTCTTAACTTTTCTTTGGGTGCCTCACCCTTCACACCCGCCCCATTTAAACCCATACCAAACATAGGAGCACCTTTCTCCAGCTCTGGGTCTTTGGGCGACTCCTTATTTGCAATGTCTTTGATCGTGTCGATTGTCTTTTGGTCTAGCTCGAGCTCCTTCTTCGCAGGTTTGCCGAATTGGTGCAATTTATGACCGAAGAGTCTGACACCCCAGGATTGTACATTCTTAGCGGTAGTCTCATCAAAGTTGATGGTTAGTCCACCCGTGGGCGTTTGCACCGAGGGAATGACCGAGATGAGGTTTGCAACAATCAGCTGAGGCGTAGCCTCGATAAAGCGACCCTGCGTACACGTTGTTAGTGATGAACGGAATAGGAAGCGATTTGGAAAGAAAAGGGTAAGAGAACATAAGGACTTCACGTACCTGAGCCGGCTCTCTCTCCTTGGGGTGGTACACCAGCCATCTGTACTTTGGATTCTCAATGTTATCTTGCCCGTAGAAGAACTTTTCGTCAATTTCACACTGAATCCAATGTTCTCGTGCAGCCTTCTCTTCCTTGGTTTCGTTTTCGTCGGCTTGAATCTCGATTTTCTTCACGTGGTCGGTTTGGAGCGAGGACAAGGCTTCAGGAACGAGATGATATACATCGTCGAAGCGTTCGCGGGCGATGAACAGGACAGTCTCATCTTTAAAGCATCAATTAGGAATGTCTTCAGCCTCTTGTATGAGGGTTAAAAGATGAAAAGCTCTAGGTTGAAAAAGGTCTTCGCCAGCTACTCACATGGAGATTGTTTCTTGAGCGACTTCAAGACGTATGCAGGGGTGCGGTAGTATTCTGCCTGGCAACACTGGTTTTTCTGGTACCAAGCTATCTTGACAAGCTCTCCCTGTTGGCGAGGGAAGAAGATTTTATCGCCTATGTCGGGAAGCATCATGTTTGGTGGTTTCGAGTGGGAGAAAAGAACTGGAAGGTATGATGAAGTTTTGAATGTACAAGTGTAGGGAGGAGCCTCAATGCAATGTAAGATGCGAATAGAGAAGCTGGATGTGAATAGATGCACGTCTTTATACTCGTTTGGGGATATGAGAAGATCTAGTCTCTTGATCGAGACTTCCAGAGCTTCGTTGTGTTCTCCATGTTTGCGACGACCCTCGCATTTCTCAGGTAGCCACTGGAAGCTTCGCGCCCGCTGACAGCCTCCATTCCTTTCTTTGTCACTGATGCTAATCAGCCACGGAACCGTGTGACCAAAGTGCATGGTGTCAATGGTCAGTCTCGCTACAATGAGGTCGCTTGCGCAAGCCCATGGTTGTGCAGTCGCAACATTGGGCATAGGAGAGTGTGCTCCTGCACCGGATTGACCGAATCACAACGCCTCGTCATTGGTGTGGGATCTTGGAGAAGCTGAAGTAGCACGTGCTGAGACATGGCTTCCTTGGACAACTCTGAACGGGAGATCTAGACCGTATATCGCTCATGCAGTGTGCGTTCGGTGGTTCCCATCAGAAATACAACCGCACCAGAGGCTTTAGCTACTTTAGTTAAAGTGGTGTGAACGGAATCGAAAACACCCACTCAAGACCACTCATTAGTGTTTACACGCCTCACAGCGGGTGGAGGTTCTAGCGCGTACTTCAGGTGGTGTTACCGGCAATTGCGTAGCGGGCCGAAGTCAACCACCAACTCCACAATCGCTTGTTTTCGACGCATCAAGCAGGTCAGAGTGAGATTTGGGCCGCGTTTCATTAGCGTTATTCTTAAATTGGTTACAGCACAATTAAAAGGAGAGCACTACCCCGCGCCTGAGGCAAAAGCTAGCATACACATTTCTAGACACGGTTAGCTCTAGCGACGTTTGCCACGCGACACTCTCTCTTTAGGACGTTCACGCAAGCCACAACATACGGTTCTGGAAAAAACAAGGCTTGTTTTTGCGCGCTCGAGCTCATCTAGATCTACTTCCTCACATCCTTCCAGACCCCGTCATCACCCCTGACTCTAAGCTGTTGTGACTGACTCTTGTCATAAGTGGTCACATTCGCGGAAGACTGGTAGCTTTCCAGCTGATTGCGCCGCATGTATGGCGCGATTTCATCGTAAATTGCCTTCTTTGTCGCCGGGTCCATCTGCAATGGGCGAGGTCGCCTGGGCTGGACCGTAGGAGACAGTATGTTCGTTGCATCCGGCGGCCCGATAGCACTGATCATAGCCAAAATGCCGAGGAAGCCAGAGGAAACTTTGCGAAACTCCTCGGTCTTCCACCGAAAGTACAGTACGCTAATCTGAACGCGCTGCCGTCCGCCCAGCGCATCAGTGAATGGCTCGTCCCAGGTCAACTGAGCAACATTGCCCGCTTTGGGCTTTGTGTTCGCGAGAAGCGATGTCATTCGCGCTCCATGCGCGCTCCACGCTGGGATGCTGTCTCCCCTGTTCAGGAACTCAAGAGCGACTGTCTTCCAAGCATCTTCATTTGGGGGTAGCAGCTCCAGGTAGGTACGCTTCTTGATCAGCGCGCTGACCGGTTCCGTTGGATGTTTGTAACTAAGACATCCGGCATTAGCTACTATCCGAGATATCGGTGGAGATGCTCACAGCAATTGATTTTCGGTTCGTTTTATTCTCTCTTCGAACCACTCTGCCACCATTTGGCAATGTTCTGGCTCGGTTCCAAACAGCAACTTCCAGAGCGCTTTGACGAACTTCCAGATTGGTCCGAGTACTTCTCCTACTCTCTTGACGAATACTTGTATGGCTGATTTGATCTTCTCTAGGATAATCGATATCCCTTCTTTGAGCTTGTCAGCAAATGACTGCAGACCCCGAAGAGCCCACTGGACAGCTTGTTTGACTTTGTCTAGAACCCATTGTAGCCAGTCCGGCAGTACTCCCTTCAGAAATCCAAACAATGTCTCTTGCGCTTGCCATAAAAACCTATTGACAGCATCGATCACAGCTTTCAACGCCTCTTCTACTTTCTTCAGGGCAATTTCCACGGCTGAGTTGATCGCTTCGGTGATATCCACTCCATCTTCTGCTGCAGCTGCAGCAACCTCTGTTACTTCGTCCATAATCTGTTTTAGCTTTTCGTCGAAATTCGGTGTCAACTTTTCGAGGTCGTGCTGGACACCTTTCGCAGTGTCTGCGACCTTGTCTGCTAAACTTGTGGCTACTCGCTCCGCGTCCTCAATCGCTTCGCGAAGTTTTCTCTGTGCTTCTTCTGCGATATGTCGAGCGTACTGTAACGCGGCTTCTGCTTTGCGGCTGACTTCCTCATACATATCGACGAATACATCGAAGAATCCCATGCTGTTCGTAATTCGTGAAGGTCTTGTGGAAGAATGGCGCTAGCCAAAGTGATAATATGGCGAGTTGTAAGTTTCCGTATAGTGTTTGGGAGATGTTCTGATTCACGAACAATACTTGCAAGTACCTACGGATTCTGTGTCGCTACCGTGTGGGCCCACCCATGGTTTCGTAAACTCGGCTTCAGATCTTCATAGTCTCGTGCCTAGCGTATATTGAAAAAGTTGTGGCTTGAGCTGAGTACGCTGGGCTTCGGGACCAGGGGGTACCCGATATGTCCCCACCATAATGAATGCCCTTACTTTTCTCGCTTGACTAGATCGGCAGTACAGATCCTGGGGAAACGTCCCACACATTCAACTGAGCCTTGCCTACGGTCTTGCCGATACACTAGTTTGGTGTCGTTAAGCTTGGCCTTAGCGGTCTGGATCATTGTGACGAACAACGCGTCACGCCTCCCGCGGCAGATTTGATGGAGAGAGTGAACAGGAACGCTCGAAGTGGAAGAACAGCACTGGCTCTAGTGGACCATAAATAACCCTTCGTCCACAAGCTGTATTGTATCATTCTCATCTGAACTCACGACTTCACTACTACACTCAACGCAACAGAGACCTTTCTAAACCTTCTTTACTCTCCGCAGGTATCCTCCAAAATGGCCGCAGTTGCTACAGCCGCGCGTAACATGGCCGAGAGTGCCGACCGTGATGCCCTTCAACAACAGGAAGAGGCTGTCGAAGTCGCATCTCAATGGGCACAAGAGAAGCTTGAGAACTTCCTGGCTTCTGTGGAGTAAGCGATGTCATAGATTGACGAGAACTGGAACTGACCCATCTTCAGGAACAGCGGAAATGACCACAAGCTTCTGAAGATCAGCTATATCATCAGTCGTCGTACTTCCATCGACGTCTTCTCGGCCAAGAGTAGTGACCTTGGCGAGTTTGTCAAGCAGATCATTGGAAAGCTTGCCGATGGCAAGGTCATGGAAGGCATCGCCGGAATGGCTGGCACGGTCATCAACAAGCTGTTTGGTTCCGCTTCTGGGTCTGCGCAGACGGAGCGATTCTAGTAAGTGACCGTTCAGCATGGACTGTAGAGGAATACCTCACTAACGATTACGTAGTGAGGTCACATTCGACGAGCTTGGAGGTCTCAACCGTGTTGATGCCTTCTTCTTCTGCTACCGCTTTGCCTCTAGTGGGCTGACCAACTTCAGCAAAGCCGTCATCGGCACTTGCATCGTCCGCTCCGCTGCCTCTATGGTCGACGACAATGCTTACCGCGTGGTTCTTACCAGTTCCGCGACCCTCTCCGATGATAGCCGCAAAAGGATTGCGGAGAGCATGGTTGGGGCGGCCAAATACCAGAGTGTCTCCCTTGACGAGTCAGGTAACCCAGTAGCGACAAACGCCAATCAAATGGAAGCGCGTGCAATTCTGGCGGGTGTCATCGGTGAGGGAGTGGCTACTTCGGATCAGTATGTGGCTCGTAGAAACGGGAGGATAACGACGTCACCCTTCAAGATTGCCGATACGAATGGTGGTGCGGAGTCTCAGGCGGACAAGCTCGCTGCAAGGACTAGCACTTTGGCAATGGATGACAAGCCAGCGGCCAAGCAGATCGATGGTGCGGGAGCTTAAACCTTGGGTGTTGAGCAGTGGTGTTGACATGGGAGTAGCTCGAGTAGTTTCTGACAATGTCGTAGCCAGGTTAATTCTAGTTTGATCTTTACTACATTTATCTTTTCAGGTTGCGATGTCACTGCGTCTGCAAGATAATTGAGCCGCATACACCGTTCGTTAGTATAAATGCAGCGTGAAAAACACAGTTTTGACGCGCATAGGTTTGGTGAAGCGATCTGGTGACATAAAACCGGCCTCGTGAGCGTACAACCGACTGTCAAGATGTGCTCACGTCCAGATGAAGGAGTGATGAAGTGAGACTGAATGTGCAGTTTACGCGGCGCCAGCTGAACGCTCTAATGTTCGGCTTCTCCCTCATTGGTTGAATTCTTGGTGTCGGTTCGGGCCGGCGACCTCGATGACTAACAGGTGCACTCAGTGGAACCCAGACTCGATCTTCTTCGCATCACTCCCCTTTCGCTCACGCCCCTACATATCTCACTAGCCCCTGGATTGCGAGGCTGTCGGCGCTGCGCTGCCCAGCATGTTCCAGGCACCCCGCCTTCTCGACCATCAAATGGACCCTGAAAGTTCACTGAACACGAGCTGAAGACGCCACACTTTGGAATAGCGCAAAGAATCCACACACTACCTGGTTCTCGTCTCATGTTCACTGCGCAAACTGATGTGAACACATCACGGAATGGGCAGAGCTATCCCTAAGCGGGTTGCATCCCGCCTCGGTCGGTTTATGATGGAAATGCGTCGTTGGGGAGGAGGCCGGAAGACTCATGGGGGGTCTCGTTTCCGAATGAGTTCGGCGAGGGTGTACAACTTCACCTTCATAGACCCGCTGAGACAGAAGATGGCATAACTCCCTGAATGCGGTAAGATCTGCAACGCGGCCCGGCTGTACTTTCCATGGTACTCGAAGAAGAAGCTGTATTCTAAGGCTGTCTCGGTTCCTGACCATGGTCTGCTCAGATAACATGTTGTCTGTAGACGTTATTGTGTGCAAATGGAAGGTAGTGAACTGACGTACCGGTTTATTCACGCATGGGTCAAGTATTCTTCTCTTTCGATCTCCGACGACCGACTGTGTTCTCCGGCTTGTCCGCGTAAGAACCGAGCAGCATGGCACTCTGGAGTCACCTCGCTCTTGACATCATCCATAACTCCGTCTATCTCCGTCACAGTTCGTCTTGCAATGCACGCGGCTGACTCTATATCCGTCAAGTCGTCGACTCAATCTTCTGTGATCATTGTTCGCAGCAGTATAAGAAGGCGTCGATTCAAAGACCATATTGCTACCTCCAAGCCTGCACAACCAGCCCGAATCACTTCTCCAAATATGGAAAATCACTTACCTGCCACCTACCACGCACTGCAGGTCGACAGTGTCGACACGGGCCTCCAGATCGTTGAGAAACCAATGCCCAAGGCCGACACAGGAAGCGCCATCGTCCGCATCGAAGCCGCCAAGATCCTCTCCTACCACCGCGAAGTCTACAACGGCGAACGCCACTACTCTTTCCCAACACCTATAGTCGGTGGGGGCAGTGCGATCGGACGGATCGCAGCCGTTGGACCCGACGCCACGACTTTGACCGAGGGTCAACTTGTCTATGTTGACTGCGTAGTTCATGCGCGAGATGATCCAGATACGCTCTTCCTATCTGCAATTCACGACAGCGGTGCAGAAGGCAGTAAGAAGCTGATGCGAGATGTCTGGCGCGATGGGGTATTCGCTGAGTACGCAAAGTTTCCGCTTGAAAACTGCATTATTCTAAACGAAACAATCTTATGCCAGAACCTGGGCTACTCAATCGAAGATCTCATGTACATCGGGTATCTTATGGTCCCTTTTGGCGGACTACGAGACATCACACTCGAACCTGGAGAGACCATCGTCGTGTGTCCTGCAACTGGCGGATACGGTGGCGCGGGCGTGCAGGTAGCGATCGCCATGGGCGCAAAAGTCATCGCCCTGGGCCGCAACGAAGAAGAGCTTGCGAGATTGAAAGAGCATGTGCTCAAGGGTACCCCAGGTGCCTCGATCGAGACTGTGAAGATCACCGGAGACGAGGCCACGGAAATAAAGACGCTTCAGAACTTCGGTGTCATCGATGCCGTGCAGGATTTCACACCGCTGCAAGCTTCCAAGTCGACGCATCTTAGGGCTGCAACGAGTGCGCTTCGTCGAAACGGGAGGGCCAGTTTAATGGGCTTTGTTGATCAACCAGTCGCTCCGTGGCATTGCGTTGGGCGTAACATTACGCTAAAGGGTAAGCTAATGTACGAACGAAGCGATATTGTGCAAATGGTCAAAATGCTGGAGCGAGGGTTGTTCCCCAGGACTGAAACATTTGTTGAAACCGAAATCTTTGGACTGGATGACTGGGAGACGGCTTTTGATCGGGCGAGCAAGCACACAGGGATTGGGAGGCAGGTCATTCTGAGGCCTAGTATCATGTCTTGATATCGCATGACTACCCTAGTTGGATCCATGTACGTTTCCAATCAAGCTGTGCAGAAATTTCTTGTTCCACCTTATTCATGTTCGTTGGGGTAGAGGAAGACGCAGGCAAAGGCTAACCCACTGATATTGTTCTCTATCAAGGGCTACTTACCAGTACACAATTTTTTCAGCGTTTTTCTTCTTGACTATAGGGCTGCACATGTAATAGTACTCGCCTATATCTGGTGATTGGGTGCGCCGCGCTTGCATCCTTTACAGCAACAACGACATGTAGAACCGGACATTTCTGCTTCTCTCCCCACTGGCCAAATTCAGTCACATCCTCGTCAGCTACACATGACTTGTACATCCCGTACGGCACTGTGAAATGCACGACGCTCGCATCCGGCCCTGAGACATCTGTCAAGTTGACCGTGGGGACATCGCTCGGCGAGGATTGGTATGAAGACGGACCCGAGTATTGGAACCAGGTGAAATTAAGACGAGCGCCCATGTCCGGCGAGTACGAATCCGAAGCATCTAGCGTCATGTTTTCCCCACCACTGACGTTGAGATGCAACGCATCCGGGCCAGACGTTCCATTCAGCAACACCACGGGTGGATGCGTGGTGTTAGAACCAGGACTCCAAGGGCTGAGCGTCCACTGCATTCTAGCAGCAAACTCGTGCTGGAACGCACCGCGCCACCTCCACACTGACGCGTGGTTCGTAAGGAACATCTCGCCGTTCACACCTTGTGCCATATCCACAGCATCGCCGTACTGCTGCGCAGCTGCATCGCCATCGAGTGGGTTACTCGTGTACCTCCCGCCCCAGCTGCCCCACTCCGGGTACTCGGGGTTTCCCAGGCCGTTGGGAATATGGTAAAGCAGACTGGGCGAGTCACCTTCCATCACATACGCGATGTCGGGATATTTTTTGCCTAGCTCGCCAATCTGGATGTTCTCTGTGAGCCACGCCTGCGACACGATGTCGTTGTTTGGACCCCCTGGATCTACGGATGTGGAACTTATACCGACCCACGCTGCGACTGGGTATTGGTTGAATCCATGGCGCGAGGCAATGTACCGCATACTAGGGAAGTTACGGCGAATCCAAGGGCCTGTGTCGTCTTGGTCTGAGATGGCGTAGGCACGGAGCTTGGAGGTAAACGTCTCTAGTTCTGAGGCTGAGCGAGTGCGGTTTACGGTCCAGAGCGCGGAGGCGAGGGTGTTGGCTCCGCCCCAGAGCTGTACGTATAGTGGTGAGGGGGAAGCGTCGACGGCGTTAATCAACATTTGGGTGCCGGTTGTGATATTCGCTCCTTTTTCCAGTTGATGTAAGGCTTGCATGCCGTAGACGGAGGGTCCGGTGCCAATCTTGCTTTTCAAGTCGTCGACTGTTGGGAAGGAGGTGTTGCTGTGCGATTGCAGGTTTGACTGAACGGCTCCGTATGCGTCTACGATGTCGTGGATCATATTGGGAAGCGTAGCATTGGGAAGCCAGAATGAAGTTATTGCTACTAAGCCTTCGATCTGGTAGAGGTTGGAATGCACGAGTAGCCGGACCAGAGACATTGAGTCGTCGGGTTCGTTACCAATGTCTGTTAGAACGAATATGCGATTCTTGACTTCCGGGACATGTTGAGTAGAGCGAGCAGAGCGCGGTGCTGATGAGGCGTATGGAAAATTCGATATGGCGCAGAGGCCTCCAAGCAGGAGTGTGTCAAACCTCATACTGGCAAGATAATTGTGATCCAAAGAGACGAAATAGAAATTTGTTTATTGCGGAAGTGATATTTTATGTTCGGCACTGGTGCGGCCCGACTTTACTTGCCATGGTCGCCGTATTGAGTCTGGTATAGATCTACAACCTCCAACGTCACTTCTCCATCGGATATCGGTTATCTTTCCTATGTTGAGCGCTGGTATCGATCGTCGGAATGTGGGGTAAAATCTGGGGTTTGCCAAGACGGAGAAAACCCATTCCTGTGCGACCCTCCAATCACTTCTTCCTGAGCTCTTGAGTCTCCGCGCTTTTCTCCAACCTTCATCTGAAGGAGATTATGGTTTAAACATCTTCAAGACGATATCAAGGCTTATCAAACGATTTCTGTAATCATCGTAAGACTGAGCTTGTAGTAAAAGCACTTCATAGAATCTCTTACTCAGGGTTGTAGCTATGTAACAGACTTCCTAGAACAACTCCAACAGTGTACTCAGAGCTTAAGAGAGCCTAATCTCCCTAGATATCTACATAAAGACTAAACAAGCAAGATGTTTTGAACGCGAGCTTGGTCGTACGCTGCCAGCACTGACTCCGCAGCTCCATTCAACACTTCGAAAAACCCAGCCCTTTCAAAAGCACCCGCATGGTTCTCGGACTCCACTACAAGAATTCCTTTCAGTTCAAACGGTCCCTGAGGTTCCATCGAATACATGGAGCTGAGTTCCCCTCTCAAGAGCACAAGCAGTTGAGCGTCGATCACTTGATCAGCGTTGTAACAAGGCGCATCTAGAACATCAAGCAGAACTTGCACCGACCCATACTCTCGAGGAATACTAGATTCTGCTGAATGAGAACTTGAGATACTTCTGTCGAAGGTGAACCCGGTATAATAGTATTCTGTTCCGCCATGGTGAATAGTGCCTGGAACAGGTCTGCATTTCACAAGCACTGAACCTTGCTCGACTTCTCCGGAAGGCTTTGTCAAAACAGAGAGTTCGATAACTGCTGCCATATCGCATACATTGGTGGAATATTCGAATGGAGGACTTGAGATCCTACCTGACACGCTCGCCCAACTCCAAGTTGGCGCGCGCCATACGCTAGGCCTCGAGTTGTGGTTGCTGCGTGATCTCCAACACAGCTCTTTGATGAAATTTGCTTTCCAGAGCCCAGCAACCAGTTTGTCACTCACAGCATGTCCAACCTCGTTTGCTACGCCAACTAGTGCAACTAGAACATCTGACTCTTTGGTGATCTTGCATGAAGTGTAGAGGGTCAAAAATCCATCCCACATTCTGTAGACTTCTCTTATCATTTCCATATTGGTATCATTGATAGTGTTGTGAAGGGCGATGTCTTGTATGGGCTCAACGCCAGGTTCTTGCCATCGATTGTCGTTGAGCGACACTCTAAGTGCATTCAACCTGCTGCGTTGCTTACTTTCTGGCGTTATGTCGTTTTCACTTTTGAGAGATGTGTGACATTCCCAGAAAAGCAAAGATCGCGTAAAATGCAAAGTTCGTGGGGAGAGAAAACGTTCTTGAGCAACCCATGCCCTTTGATTCAAAGGCGCAGAATCAATTGCTGTATCTGCTGAACGTTGATGAATGCCGAACAGGTATGAAACTGGCGTTGGCAAGTCGGATGAGTCGTCTTTGCTTGACCACGTAGCCTCGACTATGACCGGTGTGAGTAGCTCGAAATCACGATCAAAAAAAAGACCAACATCTCCAGATTCAGCACCGGTAGCTGCAATACAGAAGTCAGCCTTGCTATAGATATCGCGCATGCGAGAAGCTTCTGCAGCCCAGTCGTCTAAATCATCCTGGAAGATGCACCTTCGTGTGGTTAGTGACTACGAGACAATAGATGGATGCAGTGACATTACAAGGAATCAATCCATATATACCGGATTTGGAACATTCGTGTGATTGCAATGGCTTCCTGAAAGGTTTTCGGCAGAGAAGACAAGGCGATTCCTTGCTTGAGTGTCTCCTCCGTTTGCTTTGTCAGCTTGATCTGCTGCGGATTCTTTCCCCAGCAGTGTGAGAGTACAGTGTAGGCGGCTCCAGCAATCGTCTCGACGTCATCACAAAGACACACTTTCTCTCCTGCAGATCCAACATGTATAGCTCTTGTTGGCGCAAAATTGTTGTGGGGTGCGAGACGTTGACACATCAAATGCTGCTGTCGGCATTGATGGTATTGGTCTTTGAAGAATGATAGAGCCTTGGCATCCCCCGTACTTTGGGTCAGGGGCCAATAATGTATGTCAGGTATTGCTTTGCACGAAGGTCAGTCTTGTATAGATAGGCAACACCCAGAATATCGTTGTTCTTACACTCGTATGGTTCGAAAAGGGGATAAACAGTCTCGATGTGATCTGTGAAGAATGGAGTCCTACAATCTGTCATATAGCGCGTTGGTCTCGGAACATAAGCGGCTCGGTCGTGTTGTTCTAACAGCGAGTCAGCCGTTGCAACTCGCTTTGACGAAGCTGAGTATACCATATTTGCTTTGAAAAGCTTTGTGGAGCCGGATGCAGATGACACAAGGAAGCTCAAGAGCTCTTTGGAAAGACTTTGCGTCAAGATGATGAATGTACTCATGTTTCCACGAATTATCCCAATTGTGCAAGCATTCTGCTCTCTCTCCTCGAAGGAAAGCTTTGCAAGGCTCGCAAAACTTATTTTGGGATGGTGTAGGCAGCCTCGTGGTCGTAACTTCTCGTGGAGATCGATCGCTACCCCATGGAACGAAAGGTAGGGACGGCGTCTTTTGGGCGTCGCTCATACTAGCGACCGTACCTACCAGTGTAGGCAAGGCCCTCTAGATGGTACTGCAGTTCTGCTACGATAGCGATAGACTAGGAGTAAGACGCAACCCCTCGCGCAGTATCTGTACGACCCCACCACGTGCCGGCGCCTACATGAAGGACCAGACCAATCATGAGTATGTACTGTTGATCAAAAAAGGCCCAATCAACATTGCCATACAAGCCAGGTTCCAGCCGACCCAAAGGCACATTCTCCGTCTTCATGGAATATGCATTGTTGTATAAGATGACAAGGCGTGAGCATTGTCAGCAGAGGTTGCCACACGGCTTCTCGCGACAGTCATTCCTAGAAGCCTAGTGCTACGTGATCCTAACAAAGAGTCAGCTGCGCATAATCTGCTTGAACACGAAGCGCGTCTTTAGCGGGCCATATCGTGCCTGAGGTTCGATGGTGGTTGCGTCATTCCGAGGCTGCAAGGATGGAAGTGAAGCACTGGCCAGCGAACGAGTCCGATGGCGCTAAGTTTGTCTGATGCTCACTCCACCGCACTCACCACTCTTCACTACGGCCATTGCACTTAACAACCGCATCGCGGACTCCCGAAAACAGTTCAAATACGATAAAAAGCCACTTTCATATCGAAATGAGTAACTTTGGAGGTGCTGGACTCGGTCAAAAGGTCATTAGGCCAAATCCGTGAGTTCTTCCCTCAATGCGCCGGTCGCATTATGCCACCACGGACACCCAGAGGACATACCCGCTTCTTTCTCTTTGTCCGTAACTTTCGCTAACTGTTTGTCCGTTCTAGGCCAGAGCGAGGCTCGTTTCCTCTCGACCACGACGGTACGCGAACCTAGCCTCGACTTTCCCATTCTACCTACCATCCCGCCTACCTTGGCCCTGATCCGTCGTCGCAATAAGTGCACACAACATACTGACATTTCCTCTCAGGAGAATGCAAGGAAATCATGCTATCGTACCTCCGATGCATCAAATCCCACCGCGGGACTAACGACCCCGAATGTCGCAACCTCTCCAAATCATACCTATCATGCCGTATGGACCGGTACGTACATCAAGCCTCCCTTCTATCAGGCTGTGCTCTACGCCTTCCTAATACATATATTGCGACACGTTTCCTCCTGTTCTTCGTTTTAGAGCAAGCGAGGGAGAGACAACGGTCTTCTCATACCACCAGATTGTCCCGACAGACTTCAGAAAGAGTTGCATACACTCACTCTTATCCCGCACGTCCTTATGAATCTGATGAGCGCATTACTGACCACTTTTGTGCCTATAGAAATCTCATGGCTCCTGATTCATTCAGAAACCTAGGCTTCGGTGACGACAGTGATGGCCCCGGCTCGAAAACTCCCACGACCACCTTGTCCCAAACGTCGCAAAAGTAGACTTTGGGGTACAAGATGCCGTATATTGTTGGAGTGAAGAGGGTGGTAGCCTCATGGCCATCGCTTCGGTAGCATCCGAAGAACCAAGTTCATGCTACCATTGCGAATACAGTCTCCACTCTTCCTGTTGCGCACCCTCAACGTCTAAGCCGATGCACCCGAGCCCCGCGAATGGCTACCATGCGCGTCCTGCAGCGAGTCCGCCTGATAGGTTACATTAATGGGATGCCCTGCATCTTGCCTGGTGATGCGCATTATGAGACATGGGGATGATCGAGGTACTGGGCGCGGCGGGGCTGGTATCGATGTTCGCGAAGAAGTTTGGTGAACACAAAAGAGCAGAGCAGACCAAGACATGCAGATGACGGCTGTCAATGACAGATGTTGTAGACACGGGGAGCGACGGCGCGACGTACAGGCATCACAACAGATCATACGAAAGACAAAGCGTTGCAGATAGCACAGCATTATCTGAGCCACATCGTTCTCTGTGGGACCTGACAGAATGGCGGTACGAATACACTTCTTTTACCGTTACCATACTCTTGCGATACCCCTCTCCACCGATCGCCATCTCCTGTTCTCCTGCGGTGGCGACTATCTCTTCCTCAACGATCTGCAACCGAGACCTGCAAGTCATCCCCCACAGCCTAGATTCACTGCAGATCGGTAGGTGTAACCGTTGTACAGCCGGTTAGCTAACACCGCCGATGACTTGACCCAATCCAACGAGGATCAACTCGTACCAAACATTGCTCTCCTGTCCCCTGTCGATGCCCGGCTATCGGATCGCGCACTGAGACATGTTGCGCAATGTTCACTTAACACACGACCGAGTTCCCTTAAAACGGTGTGGTCGCGCCGTGACGTCGTCGGCACATTAGCGTTTTCATTTTGCTGAGCGCGCGGGAGACGGGATGACGTTTGGACGTTTAGACATTGTACAATGTGACATATGGCTTGCTATGCGCGCACTCCAGTTTCTAGACAAAAGTGCGTTGACGTTCCCGATGCGGAAGTTGAGTAAAAGTGCTTTCACATGTCAAAACCCTCATCCTGAGTACCAGCAGCCGGGGTCGCGAATATTACCGGCATAATAGCATATACTATCATATCGCTTTTCCCATTATCAACGCCAACTATCGACTATCGACTAACAGAATCCCAGCCCATTACCGCTGCATGCGTAGGCACGTTGCACAACAGATGTCAGTACCGATTCTAACCACCCAGTCACAATCCCCGTCCTTGATCAACCGAGAAAAACCCTGGTCACCGATCGTACTACCAACCCCCCTCCTCTCGCTTCCGTCCCCCCTCTACTCCGCCCCGTTGAATGCTGTTACACAACTTAGGCACACCATAATGGCCGTAGTTGGCCGTGTAGCGATATTCGGCAAAGGCGGTGGATTATGCTGTTGTTGCATCTCTCTGTGCTGCATACAGGCCAACAACTATCATGACACCCCACCTTTCCATTGTACCAAGAGGAAAAGAAGGAACAAGGAACAAGGGAAGAAACTCTCCTCACGTACTGCAAAGAGTCTCTCTCTATCTTCCGGCAAAAGTTCCCACCAATCGAAACCATGGTAATTCGATAATGGTCGACAAACGAATGAACAAGCCCATGCGTATGCAAGTGATGAATGTTCATATCACATATATCCACCCCTCTCTCTCATATACCCTGTTCCCTCCCCCGCTTCCTGCCGGCAGATCACCCAGTTTACCATTATTTTTTATTCCCGCCCAACAACACTACGATCGGTCTGTGTGCCAAAGACCTAGGACAGACAAGGGGGGGGGGGAGAGAGAAATCACAAAAGGAAAACGGCCTCCAGGCCCGCAACCAATCAAAAGAAAAGCAACACTCGACGCCCCCTCTCCTTGAGCAATCTGACTTACTACCCAATCAATCAATCAATCAATCAATCAATCAGTCGGCAGACTGTGGAGTGGGAAAATATGCAGGTAACCGTATCACCGCTGCAAAAAAAAGATGGTTATTGAGAAAATCGTTGTAGTCCACACTAGGGGTTTTTTGTTTTCTTTTCTTTTTTTTGCGGCTATTTCAAAGAAGGGGGTTGGCGGGAACTCTACGACACACTTGCTCAATTTACCAGTTACCCGCGGTAAGCAAGCAAGAAAGCGATATACCAACAAACAAAACTCTAAATTCACTTCCAACTCATCCCGACACAAACTACATGTGCCATCTCCATCTCTTCTTTCCCCCTTGTTCTTTCTTCCTAGTCGAATCCAAAGTTCGCACATAACCCAACCATTCCAACTTGTCCCATGTCACCATGTCACCATTTCCCCATTACCATCCTAGCCATCCATCCATCCATTCACAATCTACACCTTTCTTTCTTTCTTCCTTTCCTCCTCCTCCTTCCCCCACCACCCGAGATAACCGAGACCACTCCAGTCCAGTCTCACAAACAGGGCGTAATCCTTCGTTCGGAAAGCCATCTCCTCGCTCGGATATGTATAGATCCCACCACTCCGAAAAGTTGCTTTTGTCCCTTGTGCCCCTCCGCCCCGTTCCGCGGCAAGCCAACCAAGCCGCCGTTGAAAAAGATGGCGCAATATACGGGTGTGACTTACTTTTGTTTTGTTTTGCTTATCTCTGAACTAATAGCGGGCGTCGTCGTTGTACAAGATCTAGCGCTAATTTTCATGCTGGATGTGGCGTTGACGCCCACCGCGGCTTGCGAAGACAAGGACTAGTCTCGACGAGCACGGTTTGTGTTCTTGTATGAGTGGGCGGGCCAACGTTGATGGCATTTTGCTTATGCCGTTGCAGATCATGGGTGCTGTAAAGCTCTAGCCTGGCAGAAAAAAGGCTTGGCTTCAGTGTGCTGGACAGGGCAAACTGCGGTGCGGCTCGACCAATTTCACTTCATTTGAACAAGTCAAAAAAAAAGCCATAGTTAAACATGTGAGATAAAATTGAAGTTGGAACCAACCAACCTATAACGCGCCCATA